GTCGTCTTCAAGTTGTCACTGTCACTCATCTGATGTATCCAACGGGTTACCAAATCTTACCGTTTCTTCTCTAACATCATCTGTCTGTCTCCTTTTCTTTTTTTGCACTGATGTGAGCTCCACCATCACTTAGGTCCTTATTACCTCTTGCACTGACTATTCCAACAGCTCCTGACTCATTCTCCCTGCCTCAAGTTCCTCTCTACTCAAATATATCTTCCACACAGTTGCCAGACTGATTGTTCCTAAAGTGCCAGCATGGCCATGAATATTCTAGAAGGTTCCTATCACCTCTAGGATCAAAAATAAACTCTTGTGCTTGTTTGGAATTCATAGCTTTTTGCTACCTGGCCTCATCCTCTATTTCAAGACTTGGGCATCAATCCTTTCTGCTCACAGCCATACTGACCTTCTTACTGTTCCTCATCCATGATGCCTGGAATGCTCTGCCTCCCCTGCTTGTCCTCTCCTGATCCCCCTGGGAGCAAGGATTTCCCCTTATCCAGATTGTCTTGTATCTGTTTTGCATGTACATGACACACACACATAATACATGTGTGTATATGTATATGTATGTGTATTCTTTCCTCCTCAGATTGTAAGCTTCTTGAAGGCAAGGACTTTTTAACTTTTTCTTTGTATTTCTCAGAGCCTCTTAGGGCACCAGGCACATTTTAAATACTAAATAAATATGCACTGATTGACTGATTAAATTAGTTCTCAAATATTTAACAGTTTTTGCCATTATTGTAAATGACTTTTTTTTTTAAAAGAATGCTTCCTTGATCTTTATTGCAAATAAGAATGTGAATGGTTTTTGCAGGCTAATCTTATATCTTAAGATCTTGCTAAACTCACTGTTTCAATTCATTTTTTGATTCATACTGCTAGATATTGTAGACATTCTAGCATGTCACCTAAAAAATAATGCTATCTTGATTTTGTCATTTGCAATGTTAATCACTTATATGTTTTTTGTGTGTGTCTTATTGAAACTGCCAGAATTCCTAGTATTCAGCGAAATGAAAGTGGAAAAACTCAGTATCTTTGTTTTTTTATCTGGTTTGGATGGGAATATTTGGAGTTCTTAAAAATTGTGTATTATGTTGGCCCTTGGTTTAAGGTAGATAGTTTTTCTTGTGTTGGGGGAAAATCCCTGTATTCCTATTCTTTTAGATATTATGAGTGATAATATATACGGAACAATTACAAATTTATGAAGTTTTTTCCCAATTTACAATGGATAATCAAAAAACACAATTTTCAAAAAAACAGAAGTTGTCAACATTCACTTGAGAAAATGCTCAACCTTGCAAATAATCAAAGAGCCACAAATTAAAACAATTATCAGTACCATTTCACACCCTTCAAATTGAGGGGGGGAAATTAAAAGCAATAAAACTCAGTGTTGGCAAGTTTTGGACAAATAGGCATACATACATTCCTTCATTGCCAGTGGAATCGCAAATTAACAAGATCTTTTTGGAAAGTAGTCTGTAGGTAGTATGGAGTAAAAGTTATATTTGATCCAATAATACTATTTTTGGGAATATATACTGAGGGTATTGTCAAAAACTAAAAAAAGCTATCTATTCACATATTTTTATAGTATTCTATGTAACTATAGCAAACTGAATGTGTAATTAGAGGGGAATTAAACTGAGGTAATAATATAATGCAATTTAAGATTGACAAATATAATGAACATAGGAAAGCCCTTTAAGAAATATTGCAGAACGAGAAAAGTAGAAACCAAAGAGTACATACTGTGACCACATCAGAGGAAAGTAAGTGGAAACAAGCAGGCAAATAAAGCACTCTGATAAAGAGTTAGTGGGACAGCTGGAAAAGCTATGGTGGTTTCTGAAAGTGGAATGAGCAGTGGACATTAGGGCTCAGGAAACCTGGGCTCAAATCAAGGCCCTGCCTTTTTCGGGCCACGTGAATTCCCTGCTCTTCTGTGAAACACGTATTGGACTAGGTTATAGAATCAAAGGAGTTAGAACAAGGAAATGAATTTAAATGTAACAAGTTAAACTGGTCCTACTGATGTTTCATATTTAATGTTTATTGCTTTATTCCTCTCCTGAATCTTGTGGCTTTGGCCACCATGTCACAGTGGTCTTCTCACCCTGGAAGACTCTTACACACTTGCAGCCCCTTCCTCTGATGGGCTGATTCCTCCAAGAAGCTCCACTTTAAGGAAAGTGACCAGGTCAGTCCTGATCATCACTTCATTCCTCCCAGGCTCTTCTCCTAACTCTCTGTACTTTCTCTCCCATCCAACTTCTTGTCCTTTCACTATTCAGGCTCCTTTCATATGCAGTATTTCCCCATTAGGATGTAAGCCCCTCGGGTAAGGGTTGTTTTTCTTTTTGCCTTTCTTTGTATTCCTAGCACTTAGCATAGTGCTTGGTACAAAGTAATAGCTTAATAATGCTTGCTGATTTAATATTTAAGTTTATGACAAACCATTAAAAATTAAATTCACAAACACAAAAATGGTAACCATCTACACAAGAAAAGCCAAGCAGATGAAAAATCCCTGTCATCCTGACTATGGTTTGCAAACTGGATAGAGAGCTCACTGCTTGCAAATGGTGTTTCCAGAATTAAAAAGCAGGAAGAGAGCAGACTGGATTGAGCACTTCTCTGAAAGACCCTTCTTTTCAACACCAATGTTCTTCTGGTGATGCGACACAGCTGGGAATAAGGGAAAACCACTATTTCCAACAAATCAAAATTTTAAGTTGTATGGGGAATATAAATGATTTGTAGCAAATTAAAAATGAAAAATTATATGTAAGAAGTGGTATAAAAGATATCCACAAAGAGAACTCTGGCCAAACAAGGGTGTGATCTAGCCATAGAACAAGAAAAGGTGTTAGAAAGAAAAGGACACTGATACTCACATGACAGCAAAGAGACCTAGAAGAAGACGCTCACCAAACTAGGTGGACCCCTGTGTCAATGATGTATGGGGGGGGTATGGATAAGAAAAAGACAAGATGACACTGTGCAGATGAGTTATGAGTTACACCATTAAAGGAACTACCTCCATTAATTAGTGTAATAGTGCTGGAGTACTGAAATAACAAAGACAAAACACACAAAAAGAGAGCATAGTGTAGGAGCCAGAGTACTAGACTGAGGGTGTGCTACATACTATCTGTATGACCTTGGGGGCAGGTCACCTTCCTTCTCAGAGTCTCAGTTTCCTTTGTCTGTATTATGTTGGGCCAGATGCATCTCCAAAACCCAAATCCCAGTACTGACTGCTTTCCGTGGCTCCAGGATTCAAGAAGCTATTATGTATCATACTGTGTAAGGATTAGTTCATTCCAATTTATATATTGTTTAAACTACCCCTTGGTGTGCTTGGGATGTAGATTACTTTTAAATGTATGGCTCACATACTCCACCCCTCCCCCTGCCCTTTGATAACATCATCTTAAAAGTGCATCTAAGGTTCTAAAAAATTATAAATGTACTTCGGAGAGAAATATGTTGGAATATGTGATGACAATTACTTTTGTATCATGGCCTCACATGTTTTATTGAGCCAGGCTTGCAATCGGGGCCATTTTCCATTGTTTGCACTATTAAATTTTTCAGTTTTAAGTTCTTTCTTAAAACAGACCTTCTCTTTACATGTGTCATAATACCTGAATTCAGCCTAAGAGACAGATCTCCTAGTAGTATAGTGGAAAGAGCACGAGCTCTGGAATCAGAAGACACTGGTTTGAACCCTAGCTGTCATCTATTCCCTTCACGACCTTGGGCTAGGAACATCTCCTCTCCTCAGTTTCCTCATCTGTAAAATGAGATAGTTGGTCTAAATGATCTTTAAAGTCCCTTTCAGTTCTAACCTCTTGGAGCCTATAAAGCAGTCCAACACTTATTTTACAGAAGATGAGAAATGACATGCCCAGTTTTGCACAGCCAGCTAGTTCCTGGGCCTGTATTTGAAGCCAGGTTTCCTCAATCCCGAGTCCAGGGCTCTTTCCACTATAGGACACTATTGTCTGCATGGGAATTAACACGTGCATTGTTTTCCTGGGAGCCCAGTAAGAATGCTTTTGCAGAAAGCATGCTTGATCTTGATCTGCTGGCAAAAGAAAAGCAATTTGCAGGAAGACTGGGATTTCCTTTGATGGAAAATGGATGTTCTTTTTTCTGATAAGGTTTTTTTTTTTTGGGTGGGGGTGACCAACTTCACCAGATGCTGCTCACACACAGTCAGAATTACTCAATAGACATTTTCTTTAAAAAGCCTGGTCAAACAGTTTAACACCAATCAGCCTTGTTCTGAAGCCTGTTCTGTGCCATGAAAACATTTTCATTTTTCTTACTGATGGAGACATCAAAGATCAATGCACGTCACAGTGGCTTACTCTTCTTAATAATAACTACAACCAGCCAGTATCAGTCCATCAGTTTCTTCAGGAAGTTCAACAACTGGGGTAGCTAGGTGGTACAGTGAATAGAGCTCTGGCCTTGGAGTCGGGAGGACCTGAGTTCAAATCCAGCCTCAGACACTTAACACTTACTGGCTGTGTGACCCTGGGCAAGTCATTTAACCCCGATCACCTCACTCAAAAGCAATAAATATATATAAATTAAAAACCTGTTTGCAAAAAAAAAAAAAAGAAGTTCAACAACTTCAATAAGCTAATGAATGGAGGCAGTCACTTGGTGCAGTGGATAAAGCACTGGGCCTAGAGTCAGGAAGACCTGAATTGAAATCCAGCTTTCAATATTCACTAGCTGTATAACCCTGGGGCAAGTCACTTAAACTCTGTCTACTTCACTTTCCTCAACTGTAAGGTGGGAATAACAATAGCACCTGTTTCACAGGATTTTTATGAGGCTCAAACGAGATATTCTTCGTAAAGTGCTTAGCAGAGCACTTTGTACTAAGTGCTTAACCAATGCTTCTTCTCTTCCCCTTCCTTTCCCTTCCCTTGAAGCCCATACAAATCCAACTGCATCATGATTACCTGGTGCACACAGTCCAAGAACTGCAAGAAGATGGGAGCAAAGCCACTGCCCTGACAATTGAAGGTCAAGTTGCTCCTCTGACTGAATTTATGGCCAAAAGAGAGCCACTCTTTCTCCACCAGCATCTGGAAGCCTGCCAGAGTCCGATAAAATGGGTCACTGAGCAGCTGGGCAAGGGATGCCACCTAGAACGCAGACAGGGAGGACAGGTTGTTAGCAACGATTTTGAAAAAGGTTTCTGCAAGGGGCAGCTATGTGGTGCAGTGGATAGAGCACTGGCCTTGAAGTCAGGAGGACCTGAGTTCAAATCTGGCCTCAGACCAAGCATTTGATACTTACTAGCTGTGTGACCCTGGGCAAGTCACTTAACCCCAATTGCCTTTAAAAAAAAAAGAAAAGAAATAAAGACAAAGGCTTCTGCGCTCCACGATGATCCCTGTGTGACAGAAGGGCAGTTACAGAGTAAAACAAACACACTGTGAAAGCACTGCCAGCAGCAGATCAAGTTGGTTGCGACAAATTCATTCATGAATTTTCAAGTAAGTTGTACAAACTCAAGATAAATTGGACTACAGTGTTCTCTTTCAGGAAACACGAAATTTGAACCACAATTGGCTAAGCTAGCCCATGATATATTTGCTTATGGTAAGATTATCAGTGTTACCAGAGGTTAGTTGATAAGCCCAGGGATAGGGACTTCAGCAGCAGATGGAACTCCATGAGGAGCACACTTCCTCTGCCAATGCGGGTCACCCAGACAGGAAGTTGCCCTTGAGCCCAAATCTCTGAGTTTGGAGATCTGCCCAGATCTCTGTGTTTGGAGACCCTCTCTTTGCCCTCGAGACGCTGCTGCTCACAGCACTTTATTGCTTACAAAGTGCTAATCTCATAGCCACCGGTAGAGTCAGAGAAGCTCAGAGCTGGAAGGGAATTCAGAAACCATCTAGTCCAACCTGTGCCAGACCAAGAATTCTCCTGACAGCATCCCCAATGTTATCTAGCATTTACTGGAAGACCTCAGGACCCCACTATCTCCTAAAGCATCCCATTTACTTCTGGATAGTTCTAAAGTTAGGAAGTGTTCTGCCTCTCTGTAATCTCCACCCACGTTTCCTTTTTCTGCCTCAAATGTGAAGAAAAGATCTATGTTTAAAGAAGGAATTTATGACTAAAAGAATTCGACTGAGCTATAATAATCAGTACGCTGCAGTAGAAAGTGGATTTGGAGTCAGTGGATCTGAATTCAAATCCTGACTCTTCTACTAACTGTGGGTTTGGGCAAGTCACTTAACCTCTTTATGACTTTAGCCTGTTTCCTTAACTATAAAATGAGGGGGGTGGACCAGATGACAGTGACTTCTAGTTCTAAATGTGTGAACCTTTAAATGCTTCAAATACATGAAGGCAGCTATTTTGCCCATCTTTTTTTCTACTATGTCATTGTCTCTTCTGGTCCCCCTCCTACCCGTTTGCCTGTTTTGTGGGCCTGTCATCCAATTTCTGGTCCCTTAGTGTTAGCATTTGTCAGGGCTCTGTCCTGGGCTCTCTTCTCTCCTCTCCCCCCTCTATTAGAAAGCTCATCAGCTCCTATTGGGTTCAAGTCTCCTTTCTACAGATGACTTCCCAAGCTGCCAAACCCCTCTTCTGAACCTTAGCCCTGCTTCAACAACTGCCTGTTGGAAATCTTTCCTTGGATATCCCCCCACAGGCACCTCAAACTCATTATCTTCTCCCACAACCCTTCTCTACTTCCAATTTTCATGTTTCTGTTGAGGGCACCGCCATCTTCCTGGTCACCTACTTTTATTGCCTCAAAGTCCTCCCTAATGCTTCCTTCTCCCTCACCTCCTATGTCCTATTTGCTGCTAAGCCTTGTTGATTCTGTCTCCCTATTTCCTTTTTCATCACTTACACAGTCATCACCCTAGTCACCTCTTCTGGCACTACTTTAATTGCCTCCTATTTGGTGTCCCTGCTTCCAGTCTCTTCCACTGCAGTCTACCCTCTCCTCAGCCACTCCACAGGCCTTCTTAAGGCACTGGCCTGAACAGGTCACTCTCTTACTCTGCAGCTTCCTGAGCTAGGCACTGAGGCCCTTTGTAACCTGGCACCACCTATCTTTCCAGTCTTCTTTCATGCCAACCCCCTTTACAAACATTAGGTTCTGGCTAAGACCCCCCCAGCTCTTGCCTCTGTGCATGGGTTCATTCCCCCATGCTTGGAACATATGCCTTCATCTCTGCCTCTTGGAATCCTTGTTTTCTTTTGACTCCCAGATCAGGTACTGCCTCTTCTGTGAAGTCTTTTCTGATGCCTTCCAGATATTACTGCTTTCTCTTTCTCAATTTTTCTTCTACTACACTTACGTACATGTTATATTCCTTCCCTTTCCCCCCCAATACAATGTAAGCTCCTTGAGGGCAGGGCCAATTCTGTTTGTGTCTTTCTATTCAAAGCACCTTAGCAGCATCTTAGACAATAGTATGTACTTAATAACTGTCCATTAAACTGAATGAAAAGGGCTCTAGTTCCTTCTCATTCTCATTACCCACCCCAGGATACTTTCCTGTTTGCCAATGTCCTTCCTACACTGAACAGTGGTGGCATCACTCCAGTGGTGGCTTGACCAGGGCAGAAGATAGTCTGATGACAACCTCCTAGGTTTTGTGCTCCATGTCTCTCTTAATGCAGTCTAAGATCATATTAGCTTTTTTTGGCAATGACTTATATTGAGCTTATAGTTCAATAAACCCTGCAGCTCTTTTGGTGATTCACCACTGTTTAATCATGTCTTCCTGATACTGTACTAGTGAATTTGTGCTATAAGGGAAATAGTTTGAGAATTATGATTATCCCAGTTTTACAGATGAGGAAACTGAGTCTCAGATAGATTGTTGGTTGCTTATTATCATGTAGCAGAACCAAGAACAGAACCCATAATTTCTTCCTTTAATTCTAGTGCTTTTTCTATTCTATTAATCAATGAATCAATCTGATAAGAATCCATACGCAACTCACTCATATTCTCCTTGTTCCACCAATAATGATGGTCTCCTCTCTCTATTCTTGACCATTTCAGGAAAAACAAGGAGGATTCCCATTGCCAAGAAATGGAGAGGAATGACTCAAATCTTTGCCTAAGTGAGTAAGGGTAAGCTCAAATGAAGGTTGATATTCATTCCTTTGCCAACTCAATATAGCTACGAATGCTGGTATTTTGCCCAAGGGTGCTGAGCAAAGGCCCAATAGGTGCTGAAATTCCAAAGCCAGAATATTTGGATGGAAGAGCACATTCAAAACAGAATTTCTTTACTGACAAAGACAGTGCTCATCTGATGATAAGATGTATTTGCTGAACTTTGCAACAAACTAAATTGACATGTTAAAACTGACATGTTAAACTGACAAAGTTAAAAACATGACAAAATGCATGCAAGCAGTTTACTTGTGTGGTGATATCCCAGCCATCTTCCAAACAGACCAGGACGGAGGAGCCGCTCTCCAGCACTTCAGCTACCACCATGGCCAGCAGCAGTAACCTGTGGAGCTGAGCGATGGACAGAAATGAGACCATGATTAAACACAGCTTCGCTTGGCAACAGTAGACACAGAGCCTTTATGTCAAGCTGGGATGTAACAGGTTATTTTGCTCTGAACACGGCTGAGTATTTTGGACAATGTAACCCCAGGACTGTCTGTAAACTTTGAAGCGTTTCAGTAAAATCAAGATAAAATGCCTAGTACAATGTCTTAATGTCTGCTTTTAAAAGTTTCCAAGTAATAATGTCCTGAGAGAATTTGATCACATAGAATTCCTTGGCAAGTGGTAAAGCTAGAATCTCAAAGCAAGGTAGTCTGGTCTGAGATGATCTTTGGGCGTAAGAAGACTGTTTTGCACGTGCTGAATGATTGTGCTTTTTAAAATGTTTCCACCATTTTAATTGAGTACTGCTCAAAATGTTTCAAGTCAATCATGATAATAACTATGTAATCAAATGGGAAGAAAGCTTTCTCCATTTGTTCTCAAAGATGATACTAAGCCAACTGACTCAAAGTCCTTATAATAAATTCATGCCTTGAGCTTAGTAGGTAGATTTCAACATTAATATATCTGAGCTGGCCAGAGACATAGACACATTTAAAAATCCTCAAACTAATCTGTGATCTCATTGATCTAGAGATTCCCTCCAACGCCTACAATTCCTCTGTGCCTGGCCAACCTATGTGACTTTTGCCTGGGTCCTCCCATAAATTTGCCACAGAGTTCCACCCAAGATTTCAGAGGCCTTTTTCTTGGCAGTACCAGTGGGGGCTGTCCACATTTTAAAAACCATGTGCATATTTTAATAAGTGGGAGGGGCCCCAAGAACAAGGCTGGTATCACTTTTTAAAAAAAATTTATTTTCCCCCTAATTATACGTTAAAACAATTTTTCTAACATTTTTTTTTAAGTTTTGAGTTCTAAATTCTACCCCTTCCTCCTTCCCCCCCCGCCCCGAGATGGTAAGCAATCAGATATAGGTTATACATGTGCAATCATGTAAAACATTTCCATATTAGTCATTTTGTGCAAGACTCGAATAAAAGAAAGTGGAAAATAGCATGCTTCACTCTTTATTCAAACAATATCATTTGTTTCTCTGGAGGTGGATAGTATGCTTCATCATTAGTCCTTTGGGATTATCTCGGATCACTATATTGCTGAGAATGGTTAAGTCGTTCAAATTCTTCATCAAACAATGATGCTGCCACTGCATCTGATGTTCTCCTGGTTCTGTTCACTTCACTTTATATCAGTTCATGTAAGTCTTTGCTGGTGTCACTTCTAAGCATGGAATAGTGGGAGGGGAATGTCCTTCTGCACCTGACATGCCTGCTCACCTTTTGGTTGCCATAATGACTGCAATTCTTTTGGACTAGGCACCTACCACATGTCCATGAGTTCACTGTTAAATTTCCTCTGAGGACAGCCCATGAACCTGTTATTTGTTATTCACACTCTGGTTTGCTGGGGAGTTAGGTACTGAGAGAACCTAACTTTCCTAGAGAATTGGGGACTGAGGATACCAGAGACTGACAGACAAGCCTGCATATTGAGTAGGATGGCCAGACAAATCTGAAGATTAAAGCACAGGCCTTGGGAGGGAGATCTTGGGACAGCTTGGTTAGGCACCAGATATCTGAGTGCATAAGTAAGGGGAAGGGGCTAAGGAGGAAAGAGGAACCAGGAAAAGAAAGTGGAGCTCTAAAAGGAGAGGTGGAGGGTACCAAAAATAAATTCTACTTCTTAAAGTTGCTAAGGGCTAGCTCTACACATGAAGATGATAAATTTTGCCCCAAATCAGATAAAATTATGGTTATCTCTCTTGTCCAGGAGAGGAAAGGGCTATCTAGAAGCAACCAAAAAGTGCTTTGAATAAAGAAGGTAAAGCAGTTAAATTTTCTCTCAGACATAATGTAATTTAAATAATATTTTTTGACTATCATAGGTGAATCTTATTTTGGTTTACTTTCATTTAGCTTACTACCCATACCACCTAATGATGAAAATCATAGTTTTGGACAAAAAACAAACCAGTGCTAGGACTTTCCTGGAAGTCATTAATTACCACTCTTCTCTCTTTCTTTCCTTCCACACTCTCCTCTCTTAGTGAGTGGACTATGCCTGCTGCTTCCATAGCCCCTCCATTCTCTCCTCTAACTCCTAGACTCTGACTTTACTAAGGACAAACTTACTGCCATATACAAATGGTTTTTCTCCATCTTCATCATCCTTGGCCCTTTTCAGCATTTGATGCTACTGATTTCCTTCTCGCTCCCTTTCTAGAAGTTTTATTTTCTTTTAGCTTCCTTGACACTGCTCTCTCCTGGTTTTCCTCCTTCCTCTCGAATCATTCCTTCTCTATCATCTTTGTTATTCCTTTCCTTTTCTTCTCCTGTCCTGAACATAAAAGTTTAGAAGGCTCTCTTTTCAGTCCTCCTTTTTGTCCTATGCTCAGAGAATTTATCTGTTTTTACATTTTCAGCTATGCCTTTATGCTGGTGATGTCCAATTTTATGTCTGGCCTAACCTTCCTGAATTTCAGTCCCATATTTACAACAACCTATAAGGTATTTCAACTTGCATGTCTCATCATCATTACAAATTCAACATGCTTAAAAGGAAACTCTGGGTGTGTGCATTTGTGCTTAAGTGAGTGTGTACATACAAAGATAAAGAATGTGGTAAAGTTATAAAAGAAGTATAAATGAAGTACTCGGGTTGGCTAAAGGAGATGAGGACCACTCTCTAGCAGGAAGATCAATGAAAGCTTCCTAGAGGAGTTGGTCTGGGTCCTTTACAACAGCTGGGACTTCAATGGATACAGATAAGTGGGAGGACATGTAAAGCCTAGACAATAACATGAGTAAAGGCAGATGAATGAAAAATGCTAGAAATGTTTGTGGCATGATGAATTGTTAAAATTGGCTGGTACATGATGGACAGCAACACAAAATAAAGTTGGAAAAGTAAGCTGAAACTTTGTGGAAGACCTTGAATGTCAGCCTAAGGAATTTGGTAGGCAATGGGAAGTAGCCTGATCAGAGATATGCATCAGGCCATTTTTTAAGTAGGATGGATTGAAGGGGCGAGAAATAGGAGACAAGAAACCACTTAGAAGATCATTGCAACAGTTCAGGTGGGAGATAATGAAGGCCTCATCTAGGATGGGGGCAGTTGAAATGGAAAGACTAAGATATAGACACTGTGGAGATTAAATTCACAGGATTTGGTACTAATTGGAAGTGACTGATAAATGGAAGGGAAGAATCAAAGGTGGTGTTTTGGTCCTGGGTGACTTGGAAGATAATGCCATGAACAAAAAAAGGATGTCAAGAAAAGAAACTAGTTTGGGCAATATGATGAGTTTAATTTTGGATGTACTGAATTTGAGGTGCTGGCAGGATATCCAGTTAGAGATGCCTTGGAATTGGTTAAAAATATATGTCTGAGGCTCAGGAGAGAAACGGGGCCAGAGATTTAGATTTGAGAGTGATCTGCACAGAGGTAATGGGTGAGGACTGTCAATAGGTGAGGAGAAGCTGAGCCCAAGGGAATGTCTTCTTTGAGAGAATAGGAAAAGGAAGAAGAGTTGAAGAAGGAGCAGGTCATAATGGTAGCGAGAAAGCCGGGAGTGGAGAGAGACTCGAGGAGGGCACTGCCAACGGTGTCAAATGTGGCACAGAAGCCAAGGAGGATGAGAATGGGCACGAGGCCTTTGGAGTGGGTCATTAAGTGGTTTGTTGATGTGAAAGAGAACACTTTTAGTAGAGTGATTGGGCTGGATGTTAGATTTCCAAGGGTTAAGGACTGGTAGTGAAGAAGTGATGGCAGAGAAAAGAAGTCTTAAGGACAGTAGGACAAATGGGGAAGTATTAGGGAAAGTGTTTTAAGACAGGGGAGGAATACATGTGTTTTGAGGTGGAGGGGAAAGTGTGAAGATGTGTGTGTGTGTGTGTGTGTGTGTGTGTGTGTGTGTGTGTATACACATGTGAGGGGGAAATGACTACGATGAAAAATCCAGTGAAAGAGAAGAGGGAAGAGAAATGTGACACAAGTCAAACAGCAGGTCTTGATGAACAGAAGAGTTGCTTCTGCCTCAGATAGAGAAAGAAAGGAGAAATAGGTGAGGGAAGACATGGAGACATGTGGAGGTGTGCAGGAAGGGGGTTGAGAAAGCTTGTATTCTATAGTCTCAGTCTTCTCAGTGCAAGAGAAGTCAAACTCATCTGCTCAGAAATGGTGGAAATGGTTTTAGAACAGCCAATGTGGGAAATCTGATAAAGAGCTATGATTTGTGGTAGTTCTTGTTGAATTGTTTTCAGTTGTGTCCAAATCTTTGTGACTCCATTTGGGGTTTTCTTGGCAAAGATTTGTTAATTTCCTTGTCCAGCTCATTTTACAGATGAAGAAACTGAGGCAAATAGGGTTAAGTGACTTGCCTAAGGTCACACAGGTAAAGTGTCTGAGGCCAGATTTGAACTCAGGAAGATGAGTCTTCCTGATTTGAGGCCCAGCTCTCTATTCACTTAGCCACCTAGCTGACCCAAATTATGATTAAGAACCATGAATTTCTAGGAATCAACATAGTTTTATTACTTTCTCTAGCTATATTTGGCTGCTTAAGAGTATAAGCCAAGAAAGTGCATTATGGTAGTGCTGTCTATAGGATTCCCAAGACAGAATTTGGGACTTTCAAAGCAGGTATGTTTAAAGGTCAAGGGCATGAGGGATTCTAGAGTGCTTAGTGGGAACATCACTGAAATGACCAAGGGGTCTTAGCTGGGGAGAAAGGCAAGTAAAGCTAAAAGAGGCCTAAAGACTTGGAGAATAACTCAGTGGTCAAGGAAGCAGAGGTCATAATAAAGGTTCAATAGGAATGGGGGAATGATATAGGTAGAAACAAAGACATATGCATTAAGGGAAGGTCTAATAAGTTGAATGTTGAGTGATGTGCAACAGGACTACTCCAGAACTGGCAAGAAGGACCCTTTTTCTCCTCCCAGTGAGTTAGGAAAGCAAGAGTGGGAGCTGCCTCTGCTGGAGATAGGTTTAAGGATGGCAGTGTCATCAGGGTAAGGCCAGGTTTCTGTTAAAGCCAGGAAATGGAGGCAGTGCTTGTAAAGAATGTCAAAGAATAGGGTTTTCTTACAATCAAATGAATATTCCATAGGACACAAGAGACAAACAGAGGGTGATGAAGGGCAGACAGAGGCCTGGTCTAGAGATGAGTTGGAGAGAAGAAACCAGGGGGCAGGGACTGTGCACAGGAAGGCATTTGAGGGTAACTAAGCTGGGCAGCAGGGTGCAGTGATGGTGGTGTAGGAGCCTTCCCTAGGGGCTAGAATGGTGGTGGCAGGAGAACTGAACCAGGTTCAATAGTCTAGGGAAGGTAGGGGAAGATCGGGGAAGATCATATAGAAACCTTGGACTGGAGAATGTAGGACAGCTGTGGATATCATCCTAATTAAAGTGTAGCCTCCATCAGGGCAGGGGCTAGGTCTTTTATTTTTTCTGTATCCCAAAGGGCCAAGCATGAAGCTGAGCACAACATCTAAAGTGTTGAATGAATATGTGTTGATTGGACATACTGTGCATCATCTCTCTTCTCTGTATTAGTCTCTGGACTTAGTCCCTTTCCTGCCCTTAATTCCATCCATACTTTCCTCCTCCAGAAGCCTGTCCCAAAGGTATTCTTTTTTTCTGCCCTTCTTCAATGTCTGTCCAGTTGTCCCAGTGCCTATAAACATGCCAAGGTCTCTTCTATCCTTAACAGGATAGAGCTCCAGCCCAGGAGTAAGGAGGACCAGAGAGCAAATCCGGCCTCAGACACTTACTAGCTGTGTGACCCTGGACAAATCACTTAACCCCAATTACCTCCAAAAAACCCCCAATCAAACCAACACAAACAAAATACCTTTACTTGATCCTGCTAAGTCCACAAGTTGCTGAACTGAATTTCATTCAGATGTCCCCTTTTTTTCTTGCTATCAAAATGATTTTAAGTTTTTTTCTTTAAGAGCATACGGGGATAGAAATGTAACCTAAGCTGGGGGGTCAGCAGAGGGGTGCATCCATCTCTTGCCATAGCCAGATTTTGTTTTTTGTTTGGGACTAGTACAAAGGTACTCAAACACTAAGGTGTGGATTGTGAGTGGTTTTCAAAGATTGAGATCCCCAGACCAGCTTACCTTGAAGTTTGGTATCCAGTTTTTCCTAATGCTGAGAAATCTCTTGGACAGACAGGATTAGGAAACTTAAGGGGACTTGGAAGAAACCTACCACATCAATTAATTACCTGTGGGAACCATTCGGAGTCTCCTAGTGCCTTGAGGAATGTCACTTCAGAATCAGTAGGAATAGAGCTGGGGACACAAGCCCTCATCAGCTTTTTAAAGCTGGCTTTCACTTGCCGGATGTCATTGAATTCAACAGGAACAAACTCACAGTTTAAAGCAAATTCTAATTTGAAACCCTGTGGACAAAGGTGCCAAAGGTTATTCAGAAGAGGCACTGCAAATGACCTAGCAAAACTGTCAATACTTGATGTGACCAAGTAAGCCTATTGGTTCAAACTCCATCCCTGAACATGCAGAAGAGCCTCATAGGAAATGAGGACTTGTATGGCTAATCCCATCTACTTTACAGGAACTGTCATTCAAGTAAAATTGGGTGTTCCAAAGCTTGTACAGGGTAAGATGCCTCCACCTTCCCTGTGTCCTCTATTGTATCACTTGAATATGGAAAATTACTATCATTTTGAGAGCCTAAAGAGAGGGTTGTTGTATACACATTTCAGTTGTGTCTAAATCTGCGTCACCCCACTTGGGGCTTTCTTGGCAAAGATACTAGAGTAGCTTGCCATTACCTTTTCCAGCTCATTTTATAGATGAGGAAACCGAGACAAAAAAGATTAAGTGATTTGCCCAGAGTCTTGCCCAATAAGTGTCTGAGGCCTGATCTGAACTCAGGTCTTCTGATTCCAAGGCCCAGTACTTTATTCACTGCACTGCCTAGCTACCCTAAAGTGACAGAGTAAAGCTTAAATACTGGCTGAGCTTATAACTGCCTATTCTTTAAGCCTATTTTCAACTGGTTAGGTTAAACCTGTTAGAAGTTTAAAATGGGTCAATTAGAGGGAGTTGGTGATGCCAGTAAATAGGAAGGAATCCCTTAGATGGTTGTGCTATACTAATAATCCAACAGGGCCAGTCAAGAGTGCCCAAAGTACCCTTAGGTTAATCCTAAGGGAGGATATGTTATTGTACCTCTTCAAGCAGGGGAGAGTGTCACGTCATACAGTGTTTCAAAAAACAAATTACACTGCTCCTGTGATGCAAATTTTCTGAAAGCCAGGGAACAGAAAATAATAACAGTAATGACAGCTCACATTCCCACAGGCGGACATGCACATATTATCCCTCTTATTTTACAAAGGAAGAAGCCAAGGACCATTGGGATAAAGTCACCTGCTTGATGTCCCTGGCCACATGAACCTTGATCTTCTGGTCTTGAGCCTGGCTTGTTCTACTACCCTGTGTGGCAGCTAAAGGTTAGTTAAGATGGAAGGTGTGGCTGCTGAAGAAGCTACCTTTCAGTCCTGACTCCCCCACTGTAGGTTACAAACCATATAACAAAGGAAGTTGCCAATTCAAGATACCCATTCCATCTGAAACACTTTATCTCATGAAGCTCTAAGGGTTCCTAATACTCTGCATTATCTCACTTAGGATATTTAACTACCTGGGTGAGCTGTGTGGATCCATCCATTAAAATATTTTATTATGGAGGAATACTGCACTGATGGAGGTCCTATTTAGAATGTTATTTCACAGCTGGAAATTTCTTTCAACTTTAAGACTGATTACTTTGCTCTTAAGATGACTAAAAAGCCTCCCAATCTCATCTGTGAGGAGATGTTTTCATTTTAAACCCCTCCAACTTCACTGTACAACGACTCACCCTTACTGCTCTAAGAGGAAAATTGTTGATAAGGTCACATGTGTAGTTTTCTAGGAACAGTATTTTATTTTGGTCCCTTTAGAGTTAAGTTAAACATTCTTTTCCTAAGTTGTCGACCACCGTCAGCCTGGTGCTGGGCCACGCACGGCACTCTGCTGGCTGCCATGCCTATGGAAGGGCAGCAGGGCATGTTCACAAGGAGTGCTGCACCTCTCCTGAGAGTGCTGTCGATGGAGATGGCTTCATGTGTTGAAGTGTGACTGTCCAGGATAAATGGTGAGACTGAGATTGGGCAGCGGGAACTCACCAGCTGCCGCTGTTGGCATTCTAAGTAGGGGAGCTCCTTTCTAAAAGAACAAATGACAAACTCTGCTCTAGTGTGTGGCAACTGGAGCATACTGATGAAATCCAGCTCTTTCTTATATATGTTAGGGTTGGGCTTCAATGGGTAAAGGGAAAACCTATTGTTTGCTCCCTTTTTCTGACAGTCCTATCACTGATGGAATGACATGACTGGCTAGTGTCCCACTGATGAGGCTGTCCTGATGTTGGCATCTGACTAGCTGGCCTTGCTCCTCATCTGTCATATCGATGAAGACCCCATAAGGCAAAAGGGCCACAGGGAGGCATGGAAAGGAGACTGACAGGTACTTCTGCTCTTTGCTCCATGTTATAGCTTGTGCACCAGGCCTGTTTGGACTAACAGACAGCTACTTTGGAATGACTTTCTATGTGACCTCAGACTGAAAGCTTCTTGGGGACTTCTTAATTAAAAATCAATTCATAGTGTCAATGAGTGGGAGCTTCACTCGGGGATGGCACCTACTGCTGCTGTAGGGCATTTCTCTTTTAGAGAGGACTCTTGTGACTGCCACAGATTCACAGCACAACAAAGCTAGCATCGGCTCTGAGCCCCAATCCACTGTATTAGCCCTGTATGAAGGAGCAGAGTATATGCATCCCCCTGAATATATAACACACACATCAACCTTGCAAAGGTTTTCAAAAACCTTCCTCCTTCTTTTGTCCCAAGGGGCTGAGGACACAAATATCTGCTGGATGTCTTCTTACAAATACAGATTCTCACACAAATCAAACCAAATCAAACCAAAAGTGACTGTAAAGTATGTTTAGAATAGTGATTTTATTTTGGTGTCATGGCCTGATTTTCTTTAAGTGTATCTTGAATTCTTTGGATTATGGGTACATGCATATTTCCATGGCTAATGGATATATAAATATACACACATACACAAACATACTTCAGTACCTGAAATATTTTTATAACTCTAAATCAATAAGATGAATTCTAAAAACTACTTCATAGCCCTGAGTCCGGGTGTGTAAGTGTGTTCATGCATGTGCATGCACGCATTAGCCATAACGTGCCCAGGGAGATTAAGGCCCAGAACAACTACAGGTAAGGTGGGTGGTACAACATGAATTAGTTGGTTTTTTGCTCCTACTATTGAATTGACATGTATCACCTATTCAGTAAACATATGCTGAATAACTGAAGGTATTGCAAACAGACCCAAATTCTTTAGAGTGTTGGGCATGCTCAGCATGCCCATTCAGGAAGGCTACAGCACCAACACAGGGTACTCAATCCTGTTCCTAGCACAGTCACCGCTACGGCTAGATTTCAAAGCCTTGGTACAGATTCTATATGTATAAGCTTATTACCAGAAACCTGCTTCCCTTGACTAGGGACTTCAAGGTAAGGCATGTTTCCCACCAAACGATAATTAGAATAGTCTTGATCTCCAAACTTTCACATTATATCATTCTAGCTCAGCCACTTTTTGACAAAATTAGGCTCTACTGTGTCCCAAAGAGCCTTGGATTTATAGTTAGGAGACCTGGGCTCAATATAATGCTAGTATGTATACATATATTAGCTATCAAAATTGACACTGACTCACAATCCTCCCCAAATAAGGATGGGCCTAATCCATGTGTGTATACACATATATAAGTGTGTTTATTTTCTAACCCTACCGTGTCACTTCCTAACAGCGTCTTTGGGCTCTTTCACTTTACCTCTCTGATTCTTGGTTTTCTCATCTGTAAAATGGGGATAACAACACTTGCCCTGCCTTCTTCACAAAGCTTCCCAGAAACTGAACAAAAAGAATGGTTGTAAAGGGCTTTAAACATGAGCAGCCAATGGTGCCCATTCTTTGAGGAGGGGGCTGGCGTTGGGGATGCCCAGGGGCTTCACCAGGGTCAGAGTCACTAGGTGAGGTTCATTATCTTTAAAATACCCAAGGCATGCAGGGAAGCTAGGCTAGAGAAACAGGCTCACAAAGAACAGCATCTGAATCAGAAGTAGCCCAAAGAGTTGTCTTCACTTTCCTGAGTGATAAAGAGAAACGTTACCCTTAGCTGTGATTTTTCACCAAATATGTACAAGGCAGCTTGGCGTTTCAGGAGCTGATTCTGTATGTAGGCATTATTACTGAAGGATGTCGGGTGATCTTTGCCTGCAAGTCGGGCGCCAACATCAATGAAGGATGCTGGAGAGGTGATAAAGCGATTGCTGGAGCGAAGACTTGCCCAGACACCTTTGTAAGAGGCACAAACATTACAAAACAGGTCGGACGAATGCAATTATCTTACCTGGAAATTATATTGACTATAGTACCAAAAGCATGCACTTCGTACATATTCTGAAGAGAAGAGACCAGCATCAATTCCATATAGCTTAATGATACTAGAATCTGAACCAGGATTAATATATTCTTAAAACCAAAGTTTTCCAAAATGAACCAGAGTACTTGGAGGAAATAGAAGAAAGTCATTTTGCTAGATGAATTCCTATTCTAATGATCACTAGTTATGTCCCTTTAAGCCAGTTATTCCCCCTCTCTGAGCCTTAGTTTCCTCATTTATAAAATGGAGATACTAGCACTTGAACTGCCTACCCCCAGTGTTGTGTCAGAGGGCTCTGTCAACTTCAGTGCACTTCAGATATGCATTATTATCATTAACAACAACAGAAGAGGCTTCTCTGCAGGTTCCTCTGATGCACACAATCAGTGCATCACTTAGCAGAGCTATTTCTGGCATTCTCCAGGAGCATGGCTTTTAGAATCTCAGGCCTCTTGTTTTGGGAAGTTTTAAGCTAAGAGTCCTATTTAACTCCTTCTGACAGCTAAGTGACAGTTAGCTTCCCCAGAGCTCAAAGAGCAGTTGACTTGCCATGGGAACAGAAGGAGCAAAGGATCAGCTTGTGTTATAGAATCATATACATGTTTGACTGGTGATTAGAGGCTGGTAAAAAGCTTGCTGAAAGAAAGGCTAGCCATGCATCACCAGTATTGTGTGTACCGGGCATAGTATTCAGGCTGAAGACTGGGGAAAGGTGGGGGTAGAAGAAAGGTCGTGCTCTCTGGGAATCTTCTCCCCAATACTTTCTGAAGACTTAAGGACTGATGTCACTAACATTCTTCCTGCTGGAGTTAGCAGCTATGATAAAAAAAAAAGTTACAAAAACTCAATGCTGGACTGGAAAACAATACCTTTGAATGAATCATACAGAGGCCATGAACAGTCTGAGAGCCTGAAGATTCTGAGAATGACAGAATTTCCCCCTTATTTTCTCTTAACATACAGTTTCTTAAAACCTAGTAAGCAATGATGGCTTGGAATTCTGCATTTCGCTGAAGCCAGGGAAGAAGACAAATCCAAAAGGAAGGTCAGATGCAGATGTGTTCTAAAAGAATGCACATTCTTGATGTTTGAAGAAGCCCATGTAGGTTTTAATTTTGTCTTCATTATATCAATTATCATTAGGAATTTCTTTCTTTAGGCAAGGATATTACATATTTAGTGAGAAAGGCAATTTGTTATTTGCTTGGCTTCTACAAAACTATAAACTCCAGGAGGTATGATGGGTATCTGAATCATGTTGTATCACATCTCACATCATAGGGCAATGAGGAAGAGGTTTATTTCATATATAATCAGAGAACATCTGCTACAGCACATTCAGAGCAATAGAATTACTTGCTAGGCACACAGACAGAAATGTTTCTACCAGTGATGGGGTGACAGTGATTCTCGGCTACTTCCAGTGCGCTTGCAAAGAAAAGCTTGCATTATTCTTGGAAGAGCCCTCTTTGACAGGCATAACACAGGGCTGAGTTTCTACATGGCTAGAAGCCAACATGATAACCTCTTGTATGCTTCTCTGTCTGTGAGTATTTTTGTGATATGAGGAGAAGCAACCCCAAGTCTTAGGAAAACACTTTCTAGCTAAAAAAGGTGTCCTCATATATGGTGCACTGAGCTTGCTTTAGGGGCCATGCTAACGGATATTTTTAAGCTTAGGGAAACAGAATGGTGGACTTGATAATTTAGAATATGGATGAAAAAATTTTTGGACCTGATCTATAATTTTACTGGTGTAGGGATCTCGTGGTAAGAAAACGTGCTCTGCCAATGAACACTGGAAACTGGTTTGCACCATATAGTCTTGGAGAGGCACCTAGGGACTCAGCCAGCAGATGCCAGAGGTGGGGCTGGAACCCAGGTCACTCTGACTCTTTTGTTGGCTTTCCATCCACTATGCCATGCTACTCGACAAAAGGGGTGTAATTCAACGCACAGTGAATTAAATTATGAAATAAAAATAGAAGCATCCCTTTGAACAACATGAAAACATGCCAAGTTATGGACATGGTAGAGAATGATGGATGTCTCAGAACACAGAGAACTGTACCTTGATTATGGACTCTTCCCTTTGTTGTTGATTTGGGGTTTGTCTGAATGAAACATTTATCTCTGTGCCCAGACACTGGTAGGTAGAATTAAAGGCGGGAGAAGGCAAGGGATAGGCAGTGAAGCAAAAGTCACAGTAGAGTAAGAAAGAAGAAACTGGTTACTAATTTTCTCAGGAATTTAACATTGAAGAGAAAATCTTATGAAACCACAGTAAAAAAGTACAAGATTCAACTCATCCCACACCAAAAGATGAACCACGCTCCTGTGCAATGAAATTTCAGTACCTGTTTTTTCAAAGGTACCAAATTTCATAAATATTCCATGAAACTTGAAATGGGAAGCGCAACTGAGAGGCGTCGTTGAATTACACCAAAAGGAACCAGGTTTTTGGGAGTTCCATTCAGCCAGAAACACACTTCTTCAATAAAATAACCACATCTTTTTAGAGCTTCCTGGGTTGACAGGGAAATGCCAGATAGCAGTATGAGCACTTGAGGAGGCCAGTATAAATCAGACCCGTGCAGCACCAAATTGGGATAAAGTAACCATGGAACCATTTGGTATAACCAAAGACATGTTCATTAAAAAGCACAATAACAACAAGGACAACAACGACAAGAGCTCCGGCTTCAAAAATAAATGCCTTTACTCATAAGCTGCATCTCTCTTCCACAAATACGTAGGCGTTTATGTAAGCAGCATGAACCTGTAATCCCGTCTTTTTATCTACACGTGCACATTTGACATTTTACCTCAAGTACCTATTTGCACCAAAGTGAGAGGCAGAATTAGAGATGGTCCTTTTGTATTCTGAGTGATATAAATTAGGCTCTTTGTGACAGAAAACTGATTTTTATAACTGAGGTCACCATAACTTAATGTAGGCTTTAGGCCATGGTGGGGGGGTTCTCAATGAAGCACACAAGCCAGGGTTATAAGTTGGCAGTAGAAAAATTGGAAAAATGCTTCTGAGGGATGCAGCTGGGGTTGGTGACTGGCTGCCATGCAGAGGCATTCCTGTAGCCAGCACTGCCAAATGGCTTGGTCAATATTCTACCCTAATGAAATTTGATGACTTTCACAGCACTATGTGTAGAAGGGGGCTGGAAGGCCTTGATAAGATTATTAAATAGACTGACAATTAAGTTCAGCCATAGTCTTGGGCAGCAGGTCTGTACTCAATGATGCATGGAGGCCTATCTCAGTCACTTCTCCATGGTCTGAACGTCTCCATGTACATGGAGACCATTTGCAGACTCTAAGGAGCTGTACGTATGTTGCAGGAGGCAGAGGGGAGAAGGCGCAGCTTGGGTGAGGAGCTATCTCCTTCGATTCACCTAGAGAAGGAATGGCGCTCTTCTCCCTGCCTCTCTTGGGGAAGCACATACTAGGGAGCCCTTTGGGACTCTCAGGGCTAACATGGTCTTTTCTAAACTGTTCTCTCCCTTCCTCCTAAGATCAGCTGCTCTTTATGAGGAAGGAGGCATTTAGCAAATAATCCAGCATGCAGATTTTACTTTCATAATGACACCTAACCCTCCAAATCAGAAGCTCAGGGGTAACGAGAGTTGTCCCCTGACAAGCACAAGCCCCCAGGGTCCAATGTCTGCTGTCTCTGCTTAGCTACAGGTCTGGGGCCTGGCTGTCCCATGACTAAAAATTAAAACCACTATGGAGCTCTCACCAAGTCGAGTTATTCTACAAATTGGGTCATTTATGCATTTCCCCAAGTGATCCCCTTCTCCCCTCAGAGATTTTCTGAATGTCCTCAAGTAAAAAAACTCATAAGCCTCAGATTACTATGATACCACTTATCTCATGCAGTTAAGCTTATATCTTAACATTTTATTAATTCATTAATCAATAATTTACAAGAAAAGGTGATTAAAAAACATGAAAAATTAATGGATATAAGGTGCTCCATGGAGACTTAAAACAATTAACTATGAGCTTATGATTTCCACTTTTATTTTTTATGGGGCATTCTTTAATTACATCAGTGCTCAGTTATAAAATTAATCTTACTAACCTCCTCGGGTAAAGCTATTGGATGGATTTACATCCAAATGTCCTGGCACTACCTGCTTGAGCACAGTGGACATTCTTGAAGTCTTTCGCTCAGAGCCTAAAGTCAGCCAAAAAGAAGAATAAAAACTATCACGTTGTTCAAGTTGACATTACTCAAATGACATATTGTTCTCTTCACGTATAACACGTCAAATTGCTGCCAAATATTGTACTTTTTAAGCACCCAAAGCTGTATTAGAGATAATAAGTAGACATGATTACTCTGTCAGAGATAACGTACACATTTGCAAGATTATGGAGGGTTAGGTCTGGATAATGCAATCAAAGAATTCAATGATGAATGCAGCAAAGCAAGCATGCTTTCTAGATGGTGTTACTTTACAAGAAAAGCCATCTTCTGCGTCTGCTGGGCTGATTCAAACAGGTGATTATGCCAAGTAGACCAACTTTTCAAGTCACATGCGCCTGTGTCTAACACATCAGGGTTACCTTTACATGAACCCTATCGGGTTTCATCACATGATAACTGAAACAGAATATGAATGTAAGTCTCAATGGCTTCATCCAGATCTAGCCAAAACACACTGAACTGCAAGGCTTTATCTAAAATACAGGTGGCAATAAGATAGTGCAGTAATTTGGGAATTTGAAACTACATATATGATAATGGAGATACCTATTCCCCTATAATTTCTGTAACACCATTAACAATTTGGGATTTGGAATCACTTCATAACATTTCAGCTAAAAAAATGATTCTCACTAAAAACAAAATGAAACTTTCCCATTTCACTAGTCTTCCACCCCTCATTCCAACTTTCAAATATGACATTTAAATCTGGTTATTCCTGACTGGGATAGATAACAAACCTGATTGCTAAATAGCCAGAGCCCAGCAATCTCCCGGTGACACCCTGTTGACAGGAACAGTACAAATTGCTAGAAAAACTAACAAGCAAATGACTCAGCAGTCCTATCCTGCGCCTTCCCAAGTAGAAGCCAGCTCTAAGAAGACCTTACCTGGAGACAGAGCAAGGGCTGGCCTGACAGTGAGGGTGTTACTGCCACTGAGTTTCTGATGAACTGAAATTGCAGTCAGTAAGGCTTGCAGGTATTTCTCCTGTTCTATACTACTTGAAGTTTCCAAAGAGGAGGTGGGAGCTAGAGAGAGAGAAATGGAAGAAAAGGTCAAAGGGGAGAAGCAGTGACTATATCAGCACAACTTGGGCCCAGAGTACTTGTCGGCTGCTTATTCATGGTCTTATGCATGCTCATGTCAAACAAAGCTTCATGTTACCAGTTTAAACACACCCCCCCCCAAACTACTTGAAAAAGGCCCACTTCAAGCAATACACAATATCTTCATAATGAAAATCTCCTCAGTTTTGTCATTCCTCACAAATTTAGCAGGGTGAGGGTCCTTGGTCAAATCTGGTTGTGCACGCCAGAATTGGTCATGCTGGGGAAAATGGCTCTCCATGCCATGCAGGCTTGGTGTTCCAATCCAACTTTGCCCCTTATGCCTGGCACGGATATAAGTCCACAAATATAACTGCTGAATTTCCTGATCATGTAGCTGCTGCTCCTACAGTGGCTGGAAGAACCAAAGAAACTGGCATTGCTAGTGCCATATCTGAAAGCAATGTCCTTGAAGTAAATACAGATTTGGTTTTCTGTGGAGTGGAAAGGACCCTGGATGAGGCATTAACAGGCCTAAGTTCTGCTACTTGCTAGCTACGTAAAGCTGGGTGAGTGACATCTCCAGTCCAGACTTCAGTTTCCCCATTTGTAATAGAAGGTGGTTGAATTTTCCAACATCTGATACCCGATGTCCTTCCAAGCTGAGAAAAAGAGATGCTCATTTAAAGTCCCTACACACTTCCCTGAGCTCTGTGGACAAGGAAAAGAGCTGCTGCCCTCTGCAAACATTAGAAGCATTGCTCATATCTCTCTTAAGGGCAGAGAGGAGAACTGAGCCTACCCACATGACTTGAGATGCCGATGCATTTCATTTATCTATTCACCACAACCCTAGCCTCCATCTATAATTTGCAGGTGCTTTTTTTTTTACTAGAAAAGAGGAAAGCAACAAAAAAAAATTTAGATTTTTTTCCCATTTAAAAGTGAAAAGGATTTAGATTAAAGAGGCAGCACTTCATTGAAAAGATTATACCAAAAATGCTAATGTCCCAAGCTTAAGGGAAGTCTCATCAGGAGTCCAGTTATGTAACTCAGACATACTTAGACGCTACTATAACTACAGTACAGCTTGGGTGAATTCCAGAGCACCAGCAATTCAGTGAGGTCAATTACCTAAATTCACGAAAATGTTCAGACTTCAATATACATGGTCTTAAATTGTTCTATACCAGGAGCAGAGGATGCCTTTGCTTTCACTAAGCCAAATGGGACAAAAGGAGGCAGCTGACATTAGAAAAGGCAAAAGGACATGGATGGATACTAGGAGAACTCAAGGTAGTTTAGCTAGCAAGGCTGTGGCCCACTGACAGAACTGCTGCCCACATCTTGCTTTCTTTCTTTGGGGTGGAATAAGTCAGAGCAAACTACTCACCCTTTCTTGTCATGAACCCCTCTGGTGAAGCCCAAGGATCCCTTCTCAGAGTAATTTTTTTTTTTAAATGCATAAGAGAGGATACATAGGGTTATGAGGAAACCAATGATATTAAAATACAGTTACTAGCCTATTTTAAAACATAAATTCATGGATGCCAGGTTAAGAAACCTTGACTTAGAGAAAGGATCTCATCCTTCATTTATTCATCTTCATGGAAACTAGTGATGTGCTATGAGTACTCACATTATTTTTTAAAAATTAGATTAAAATAATTTTTTTTGAACAAAGATCTCCCTTCTCTCCCTCCTAATCCCTACCACCACTGAGAAAGCAAGAAAAACACAGTTCCTGATGCAAACATGTATAGTCAAGCAAAACAAATTCCTGCACTGGCCATGTAAAAAAATGTTTCAATCTGTACTCGAGGCCAGGAGATGAGTTTCATTATGAGTCCAATGTAACTGTGGTTAGTCATTTTCTGATTAGAGTTCCCAAGTCTTTCAAAGTTTTTTATCTTTATAATACTGTTTCTACTGTATAACTTATTCTTCTGGTTCTGTTCACTTCTCTCTCAATCAGTTCAAGTAAGTCTGCACAGGTTTCTCTGAAATCCCCATCATCATTTCTTACAGCACAATGGCATTCTATCACATTCACATACCATAACTTCTTTAGTTTCAACAACTGATGGGAACCCCTTTAGTATCCATTTTTTTGGCCACTAAGAAAAGAGTTCTTTTAATATTTTTGTACATATGAGTCCTTTTCCTCTTTCCTTGATTTCTTTGGGGCCATAAAGACATGGTAGTGGTATTGCAGGTCAAAGGGCATCAGTCCAAATCCACTAAGAGAATATTAATTGCCTATTTCGCCACAACTTCTCTAGCATTTGTCATTTCTCTTTTTTGTTCTACTTTGCCGACCTCATGGATGTAAGGTAGAACCCTAGAGGGGTTTTTATCTAATTATTAGCAATGTAAATAACTTTCATGTGTCTATTAAAAGCTTGGATTTCTTCCTTTGAAACCTACCCATTCATATCCTTTTACTACTTATCAAGTAGAGAATAGCTTGTATTTTTATAATTCTGGATCAGTTCTACATATATCTTAGAAAGAGACCTTGGGGGCAGCTAGGTGGCACAGTGGATAGAGCACCAGCCCTGGAGTCAGGAGGACCTGAGTTCAAATCTGCCTCAGACACTTACTAGCTGTATGACCCTGGGCAGGTCCCTTAACCCCAAATGCCTCCAAAAAAAAAAAAACAAAACCCAAAAAAAAGAAAGAAAAAGAAAAGAAAAAGAAATGAGACCTTGATCAGAGAAACTTGCTGCAAAGTTCTCTTCCCCCCACCCCAATTTGCTTCTCTAATTTTAGCTGAATTGGTTGTTCATAAATTTCTTAATTTTATGTAATTAAAATTGTCCATTTTCCTTCCTGTGAAGCTCTAGTTTGGTTATGAACTTCTCCTCCATCTATAGATATGATAAGTCATTACTTTCTTGCTCCCTTAATTTATCATATCACTCTTTATGTCTAAGACATATACCCATTTGTAACTTATTTTGGTTTATGATGTGAGATGTTGGTCTTTACCTAGTTTTTTCCAGCTGGTTTTCCAGTTTTCCCAAGCTTCTGTTAAACAGTTGGTTTTTATTTAAATTGCTGGGGTCTTTCAGTTTATCAAATGCTATGCTACTCTGCTTGTTTGTCTGTGTACCTAACCTGTTTTAATGATCTCTATTTCTTAATCAGTATCAAGTTGTTTTGATACTGCTTTGCTGTATAGTTTGAGATTTGATAGTGCTAGACCCCCTTCTTTCCCACTTTTATCCACAAATTTCCTTGATATTCTTAATCTTTTGTTCCTCCAGGTGAATTTTATTCTTAATTTTTCAAGCTCTACATAAAGTAATCTTACTTTGACAGTTTGATTGGTTAAGGCACTGAATAAATTAATTTAGGATATATTGTCATTTTTTTATGTTGGCTTGGTCTACCCAGGAGCAATGGATATTTCCCCAATTATTTAAATGTTTTCATTTGTGTAAACAGTGTTTTGTACATATAGTTTTGGCATGTGTCCTGGCAGTAAAATCCCAAGGTTTTTATACTTTTTGTAATTATTTTAAATGGAATTTCTTTTTCTATTTTTCTTCCTGCTGGATTTTGTTGGTAATGTATGAAATGTTAATAATTTATGGGGATTTATTTTATGTCTTGCAACTTTGATAAAATTGTTAATTGTTTTGATTAGCTTTTTTAGTTGTCTCTTTAGGGTTCTCCAAGTAAGCCATCATATCTTCTGCAAAAATTTTGTTTTTTCTTTGCTCACGCTTAGTCTTGAAATTTCTTTTTCTTGTCTTATATCTAATTTCTAGCACTATTCTGAAGAGCAATAATGATCATGGACATCCTTATTTTACCACTGATCTGACTGGAAAGGCTTCTAGATAATCACCATTACAGATAATGCTGGCTCTTGCTTTTAGATAAATATTACCTGCCACATTAATTAAAGTTCCATTTATCTCTATGTCTTCTAAGGTTTTTTTTTTAAAACAGGAATAGGTATTGTATCTTGTCAAAAATCTTTTCCTATATCTATTGATCATACACAATTTGCTGTTCTTGTTGTATGGTCAATTCTGTTTACAGTTTTCCTGATATTGAACCATTTCTGCATTTCTGGTATAAATCCAATTGGGCAACAGTGCATAATCTTTATGATATGTTGTAGTTTTCTTGCTAATATTTAACATTTTTTGGGGGAGATCAATATTCATTAGGGATATCTCTATATTGTTTGCTTTCTCTTGCTTGACTCTCTCTAGTTTAGATATCAGGACCATATTTGTGTCACAGAAGGAATGTGGCAAGGCTTCTTTCCTTTCCTAGTTACTCAAAACAGTTTATGTAATATTATAATTAATTGTTCTTAAAATAAGAATTTGCTTGCAAATCCATTTGGTCCTAGGGTATTTTTCTTTGGAATTTCATTCATAATTTATTCAATGTCTTTCTTTAGTATTGGGTTAAGTCATTTATTTCTTGTTCTGTTAATCTGGGCAATTAGTATTTTTATAAATATGCATATATTTCATTTAGATTGCCTATATTATTGGCAAATAACTAGGTGAAATAGTTCCTAACAATTTATTTCTTCTTAGCTGGTTGTGAACTTACCTTTTCATTTCTGATACCTGTAATTTGCTTTTCTTCTTTCTTTCTTTCCTTTTTTTCCCTAACAAATTAGTAATGGTTTGTGTACTCTGATGCTTAAAAAAGTGCCAAGATTTATTTTTTATTTCAATGTTTTTTCGCTTTCATTTTTAATTTTTTCCTTGATTTTCAAGGTTTCTATTTTGGTTTGGTAATTCAATGGGCTTTTTGCTTTCAAATTTAATCTTTTTTATTTTCATGACTTCTATTTTGGTGTTTAATTGGAGTTTTTAATTTGCTGATTTTCTAGCTTTTTTTCCCCTTTAGCTGCATGACCAATATCTATTCTTTTCTTTTATTGCTGAAAGTATTTAGAGATATAAATCTTCCCCAAGGGTTGTTTTGACTGAATCCCCTAAATTTTGGTATGTTGTCTCATTGTTGTCACTATCTTTAATGAAATTAATGATTTTTTTCTGATACATTTTTTTTGCCAACCTATTCTTTACAATTTCTCAAATTAATTTTTAATCATTTTCAGTGGCCCTTTACTGAATATAATTTTTATTGCACTGTGGTTCATAATAGATGTGTTTGCTATTTTTACTTTTCTATATTTGTTTGCAAAGTTTTTATGCCCAACTACACAGTCAATTTTTGTGAAGGCATTATGCACAGTGAGAAATACACACGCACACACACACACACACACACACACACACACACACACACTCCTTTTTATTTCCTTTCTATTCCCATTCAATAGTCTCCAGGTCTATTGTAAATTACTTTTCTAAAATTCTACTCAGGTTTTTCACTTTTTTTGCTTTAGATTTATCTAGGTCTGAGGAATAAATTAAGATACCCCACTATTATAATCTCACTATTTCTCCCTATAACTCATTTAATTTTTCCTTTAAGTATTTAGATTCTCTGCTATTTGGTGCATATATATTTAGGATTGACAATAATTCATCATCTAGGTCTGTTTCTCTTCTAATTAAGTCTATTTTTGCTGTTGCTTAGTCTAAGATCATGGTTACTTTGTTGTTGTTGTTGTTGTTGTTTAATCATTTTCAGCCATGTCCAACTCTTCATGACCTCTTTTGGGGTTTTCTTGGCAAAGATATTGGAGTGGTTTGCCATTCCTTCTCCAGCTCATTTAACAGATGAGAAAACTAGGCAAACAGGGTTAAGTTACTTGCCCAGGGTCACACAGCTAGTAAATGTCTAAGGCCTGATTTGAACTCATTTTCCTGATTGTGGGCATGACACTATCCACTGTGCGACCTAATTACCCAATCTACCCTTGCCTTTTTAACTTTTGCTGAAGCATGTTAGATTTTGCTCCAGCTCTTCATTTGAACGCTGTGTGTCTTTTGTCTTTCAAATGTTTTTCGTGGAGACAACATATTGTTGGATTCCATTTTCTAATCTATTCTGCTATCCTCTTCCATTTTATGGGTGAGTTCATACTATTTACAGTCACAGTTATGATTGTTAATTGTGAATTTCCATCCATTCTATTCTTTTATATTTTTCCTTCTCTTTGCTTTTTGCCCCTTCTTTAAAAAGAACATGAGTGTGGTGACAGAGTGTGAGCAAATTCAGCACAAGGTTTGTTCTAGGTTTAGTGTAATCTGCTTCTGCTCACCTATCTCTCTTCTCTTTCCTTTGCCCAGGGCCCAATAATTAATTCTTATCCCTTCTTTTAAGTTCCTCCTTGAAATCAATCCTTCTTAGTTAGAACTTATTTTTATTGGGGCAGCTAGGTGGCACAGTGGATAGAGCACCAGCCCTGAAGTCAGGAGTACCTGAGTTCAAATCAGGCCTCAGACCAAACACTTGACACTTACTAGCTGTGTGATCCTGGGCAAGTCACTTAACCCCAATTGCCTAAAAAACAAAAACAAACAAAAAAAAAGAACTTATTTTTATTTACTAATCCATCCCTTAATCTAACATAAATAATTTATCCTTATTTAGTCTTTTATGATTTTTCTCTCACATTTACCTTTTTGTTTCTCTTGCGTCTCAAGTTTTATTTCAAAGTTTCTAGATAACTCTGGTCTTTTCATTAGGAGTGCCTGGAAACCCTCTGTTTCATTAAAGACCCATTTTACTCCTTGCAGGATTACTCTCAGTTTTTCTGGGCAAGTTATTATTGGTTTAAGCCTATATTTTTGCCTTCTCGAATACCATATTCCAAGATCTCTGCTTCTTTATGTGATGGCTGCCAAATCTTGTGTGATCCTGCCTATGGCTCCTTGGTACTTGAATTCTTTCTTTCTGGCTCCTTGTAATGTATTTTTCCTTAGATTTGGAAGCTCTGTATTTTGGCTACAATGTTTCTGGGAGTTTTCTTTTCAGAGTTTTTTTCTGGAGGTGACTGACAAAAAAGACCCAAAGAAGTCTGTTCTTTTCTATTTCCATCTACTGTCTAGTTCCAAGAGATCTAGGGAGTTTTCTTTTTATGATCTCTTGAAATTTGGTGTCTAGGCCCTTTTTTGGTCATTGCTTTGAGAGAGTCAATTGATTTTTAAATTTTCTCCCTTTGTTCTATTTTGCAGGTCAGTTATTTTTTTCCTATGTGATACCTTACATTTTCTTCTATATTTCTTTTGACTTTGAATATTTCTTGTTGTCTCACAGAGTCATTAGCTTTTATTTGGTCCATTCTAAACTTCTGAGAGTTTGTTTCCTGGGTAAGATTTTATACTTCTTGTTCCAAGCTGTTACTTCTTTTTCCAAATCTTCTCCCCTCATTTTGTTGATATTAAAGTGAGGACTACAGAGGTTGAATGACTTGCCCAAGGTAATTTTTTCCCCAATTTTTTCCTCTAGTGTTCACATTTGATTTTTAAAACCACTTAATAATCACTATCTTTTATGAGTTTTGTTTTGTCTTAAATTGTTGCTGCATTTCTTCTATGAATTCTAGTGGAACTTGTGTCCAAGCTGAATTTTTCTTTGAAATTGCTTGTAGACCTTTTGGAATCATTCTCTTCTTCTAAGTTTGTGTCTTGAGAAACCCTAGCATCATAATAGTTCTTTATGGTGGGATTTTAAAAAAATTCACTCATTCTTCCAGCTTATTTCCAGACTTTGAACTTTATGTTAGAACTTTGCCCTTTCACTTGTGGAGGGAACATCTGGGCTGAGCTTATCTCATCCTGGGTCCTTTTGCTGCTTTCCTGGGGTACCGAACGTTACAGTATTCTAGAATCTCAATGACAGGTCAGGCTTTGTATCTCTAAGCTTTTGATGATCCCAAACTCTTGTGATTGTTAAAAGTGGATTTTTAATAGCTAAAAGTGGTCTGTTAAGAGTTGACATAAGGGGCAGCTAGGTGGTGCAGTGGATAGAGCACTGGCCCTGGAGTCAGGAGGACCTGAGTTCAAATCTGGCCTCAGACACATAACACTCATTAGCTGTGTGACCCTGGACAAGTCATTTAACCCCATTGCCTAGGTCCCTCACCCCCCAAAAATAAATAATAAAATAAATTTAAAAAAAAGAGTTGATATAACTAACTCTATTTTGTTCTATATTCATCATTTTGCCTCAGCATGTACTGTAGGATCAGCTCACAACATACTGATTTCTTTTAATATCTCCTTTATGGTTCTAATTGATACAAAAAAAGGTTTTATCATTGAAAAGCAATATTTTCACAGCCCACAGTCTGTTCCTTTTCTTTTTCTTGTCTCACAAGGTACAAGTGATTCTCTTTGATCTAGTGTGAATGGCTATGTTTAACAAGGACATACTTTTTAAACTAGTGATGGGCATCCTCTTTTGTTGTAACAAGTATACCTTTCCTTTCTACATGATTAACCTGCTTTGTAACAAGCATGTCTCCTTTCTGCCTCAGGTAAAGAATGATTACATGAATTACTTCCTGAATTATAAGAACCTCACATGTCTAGAGCACATTTCACTCTGAATGAATAAACTGCAATTTTTCCTATCTGTCTTATGTTGGATTATTGGCAGTAGTTAGCTAGCAAATATAAAGAAAACTCATGCAACATGATTTAGGGAAAAGTCTGATCACCGCCTTCATGGTCTGAGCTCTACAGATTCCTGACCTGAGTTTGGGAATGCACCATCCTCCTGTGGGCTTGCCTTTGGTTAGATGTTTCTGTTAGACTGCTGTTATACTCAGCCACTTTCATACACTTGGAAAGCTCTGCTGGTTCAGAGCAACAGAAATGTCGGCTCCCTTTTGCTCTGGCACTCCTACCCTGGTTATGACCCTGAAGGCTTCAGATCATGATGGAGGCTGGAAATGAGACACTGTTATACTCTTGGATCTATGCCACACAGCCATTATTTGCTTCTGAATTTGCTCTTCACTCAGCATACAGACTCAGGCCCACACCTGCTATTCATCCCAGAACATTACCCTTAGGTGCAGGTTCCCCTCCTCATTCTGTTCTAGATCTGCAACCTGAAACTGTGCATTAAATGACAGAGCTGCCAGCAGGCACCTGTTCCTGCATCCTGCAGAAAGTTGGAGTCCTCCTAAGGGGGTCTGGGTCCTCTAATTTCCTTGGTGCCCAGCCTCGGCCTTCTGGAATGTCCCACATGGCATGCCTTTGGCCAGACTTCCCTCCCCAGGGTCTACAGACCTGTCTATTTTCTCAGATTAGAAATCTGACATACTGTCACTTTTCTTTGAATTTCCAATTAGGACTTGGTATGTGCATTTTCTAGGTCTTTGTGGAGGAGATATTTGGAGGAGTTCAGCAGTTCTTCTTCTTGCCACTTCGTCATCTTGGCCCTGCCAGGTACTTTTTCAAGACTACTTTGTGAGAAGTTCTTTTATTAAGATCCAAGTAAGGAAGGGATTTAAATAAAAGTAGACTACCAGCAGTCAAGGTTAGCATAGTTTTGGCTCATATTATGGTAAAGTTGGAAAAGGCTTTAATCAGCTAAATGACAGCATGACGTAGAAGGATAAAGTGACAGAAGTAAATGGTGTTTATACTTGAGAACATGAGAGAAAATAAGGAAAACCTAGGCATGCATTAGGATTAGGGTGGGAGATATGAAGACCCTTATGGATCATCCAGTCTAATTCTCTCCTTTTAGAGAAGAAAAATAGATCTGAAGAGGAAAAATGACTTGGCCATGCCCAGACAGAAAATCAATGGAAGAGCTGGAAGTAGAATAGCAATATACTGGGCTCTTTCTGCTGTGCCTTGATCATGGCTTCTCCTGGTGAGGAAAATGAATACATTTGGCCTGTATGGGCTACACTGAGTGCTTACCTGTAGAATGAGGGTTTGGAGATTTGAAAAGCCCAACAACTCCTTTTCCATGGAATCCACCGGCTCGAAGCAGCAGGGTACTGGTTTTGGTGTTTTTCCAGCAGACAACAGGCAGGCGATTTTGCCGATAGCAGCGAGCCACTCTTGGTAAGCTACTGTCCTGGACAGCTTGAGGTACCACTAAAAGCCCTGGGTAGCTTCAGTTCCATAGTGAGGGAGGAAAGTAGGAAGGGACAGGGAAGTAGAGTGAGAGGGAAAGGAAGAGGGATTGAGAGTAAAGAGCAGAAAGGGAAGAAAGGAGAGAAGAGCAAGAGGGAAAAGGGAGGAAAAGATAGAGGGGGGAAGGAGAGGGAGAGAGAGAGGGAGGGAGGGAGAGAGAGAGAATGAGAATGAATATCAGACTGGTTGTTCAAAGCTCCAGAAAATCTTATTTTTAGGAGAGGATCACAATTTAAATGGCAACATGTGCAATCTCTTGGGGGAGTAGATTGGTTTATGTCAACAATTTGTTCCCTTCATTTATTTCTGTGATGAATTTTGAAATGGGAAACTTTTTTTTTTAATATACAGGACACTTTCAATGACAACTGCATCCCTTAGCGGCACAAGTTCTGCTTTTAGAGGACTCTGAAAGCAAAGCTGACTGGTGAAAAGTTTGACTGGTGAAAAGCCTGCAGTTTGAACCTGTTTTTTCCCCTTGTACTGTGTTCTTAATTTAGCTCTGCTTTTCCTCAACTTGAAATAAAGATTGTAAAGATTAATGGTTTGGTGTCCGGTTTATGAGAATGACATGTCACAGTGCCAACAGCAGACTGGATCATTGAAAACAAAACAAAGGTTTTAGCACCAGGATATATGATTGCCTGAGATGGCTAAAGGATTAAAAATGAAAAACAAATCATTGCTGGTACTAGGACAATATGTTCACATGTCAAAGTGTGTTTAAATATTTTATTAACACTGCATAGTGATACTTATTTTAAAAACAGATTAGCTAAAAATTGCAGGATATGATGCAGGAAGAACAGAAAAACAGATGAGCATCTTATTTTACAATTCAGTGAGTGTAAAAAGATGGGCAGGTTTCAAGGAATTTAATATACTTCCTTCTATGAGTCAATTTAGAAACTCAACCCCAAGGAGATTTCACACTCACCACTATCCTCCTTTCTCTAGTCTATGGGCAGCTCAGCTCTGATGCTGATGAGGAAGGCTCCTATTTAGATATGCTGTTTACCTCCTTCAACAAAGGAAGATGCAAAAATCATTTCTCAAGCTTCTAAGCTCATGTTGGAAAGCATTTTGAAGGTTGGGTACGACAGGTAGCCTTATTCTGGATTTCTAATATGTAGTAACATCTCATTTATTCAGATTAACTGTGGGAGAATCCATTTCCCAACTGTTTAAAAAGCCCCAAATTATTGATAAAACCATATACTACATGTAACCCAATGGACCATGGACTCAGAGCTGGAAGGGCCATCTAACCATGCCATCTCTCTAATTCTTCAGATATGAAAGTGAAGACCACAGAGGCTGAATGACTTGCTCCAGGTAAGTGGACAGTGACAGAGCCAGGATTTGAATCCAGGTCCTTTGATTGTACACCTAGGACTCTCTCCACTATTCTTTAAAGTCCAGGTCAAATACCATCTCCTCCACGAATGAGGATCTGAACCACCTTCCTTTCCAGAAAGGAGTGGATCTTGGATCTCTGTTCTACTTCCATACAGTTTTCATGTTCTATTTTAGATTACAGTCGTTTGTATTTGTGTCTTATTCACTTAACTCTACTTTCCTTGAGGGGTAAGAGCATATTTTATTTATCTTTGTGTCTTTATGCTGGCTATGTGACTATGTTCAGGTCACTCAGTGTCTTGTGCAACTCCTGAAGACTATAAAAGAGAACTCCTAATGTGCATTGACAGAGGAAGTTTCCATTCCTGAAGCTCCCTAGCCAGTTAAATTATAAGTCTGGAATAACAAAAAAGCCAACATAAAACTCAACACACACAGCCCTCGAATAGAGTAGAAGGAAGTGAGGAGAGCAGCTTCAAACACTGGTTAGGAAGCATGGTTAAGTTCAGGTTTTGGCTTTGTGTGGACAGTGGGCTGCAGCCAGTTTGCTCCCTTTGTTCCATTAAGAAATTTCAACTCATCTTGCTTCCACCTCACTCTATGCCCTCTATGGGGCTTCTCATTCCCTCCATTTTTTCCAAGTGAACCATCCTATTTTCTACCATTCCTCATCAAGCAGTGAAATCTTTCTTTTTTTAAAAAATTTAAAACATTTTATTTTTTCTGATTACATGTAAAACCAACTAACATTTATATAAAAATTTTTTGAGTTCCAAACTTTCTCCCTTCCTTCCTCCTTTCCCCTCTCAATGAGAAGGTAAGCAATTTGATATAGGTTATGCATGTGTAGTCATGCAAAACATATTTCCGTATTAGTCACATTGTGAAAGAAAATACAGACCAAAGGAAAAAAAACCCATAAAAAATAAAGAAAATTTAAAAAATAGTGTGCTTTGATCTGCATTCAGACTCTATCGGATATTCTTTCTCTGGAGGTAGATAGCATTTCATCTCAAGTCCTTCAAAATTGTCTTGGATCTCTGTATTGCTGAGAATAGCTAAGTCATTCACAGTTGATCATTATATAATATTGTTATTACTGCATATAATGCTATTTTGATTCTGTTACTTCACTTTGCTTCCCTTCATGTAAGTCTTTCCAGGTTTTTCTAAAGCATCCTGCTCATCATTTCTTATAGTGCAATAGTATTCCATCACAATTATTAACAACTTGTTCAGCAATTTCCCAAGAGATGGGCATCCCCTCAATTTCCAATTCTTTGCCACCACAAAAAGAGCTGCTGTAAGTGTTTTTGTACATAAAGGACCTTTCCTTCTTCTTTTAAAAATTTTTTTTGGGATACAGACCTAGTACTAGTATTGCGGGACCAAAGGGTATACACGGTTTTATAGCTCTTTGGGCATAGTTCCAAATAGCTCTTCAGAATAGCTGGATCAGTTCATAACTCCAGCAACAGTATATTAGTGTCCAGTTATTCCACATCCCCTCCAACCTTTGTTCTTTTCCTTTTCTATCATATTGGACAATCTGATAGGTGTAAGGTGGTGCTTCAGAGTTGTTTTAAATTGCATTTTTCTAATCAACAGTGATTTAGAGCACTTTTTCATATGACTAAAATAGCTTTGATTTCTTCATCTGAAAACTGCCTGTTCATCTCCTTTGACCACTTATCAGTTGTGGAATGATTTGTATTCTCATAAATTTGACTCAGTTCTCCATATATTTGAGAAATGAGGCCTTCATTCGAGAACCCTGCTATAAAATTTCCCCCCTAATTTTCTACTTTCCTTCTAATCTTGGCTGCATTGATTTTGTTCGTGCAAAACTTTTCAGTTTAATGTAATCAAAATCATCCATTTTATATTGTAATGTTCTCACCCCTTGTTCGGTAATAAGTTCTTCCATTATCCATAAATCTGACAGGTAAACTATTTTATGTTCCCCGAATTTGCCTATAGTATCATTCTTTGTGTCTAAATGACACACCCATTTTGACTTTATAGTGGTATAAGTGTGAGATTTTGTTGAAAGTTTTTTCTGCACCTATTGAGATAATCATATGATTTTTGTTAGTTTTATTAGTGAGATGGTAAATTATTCTGACAGTTTTCATAATATTGAACTAGCCCTGCATTTTATTCCTGGTATAAACCCCATTTTGTCATAGTGTATGATCCTTGTGATACAGTGCTGTAATCTCCTTGATAGTATTGTGTATAAATTTTTTCATCAATATTCATTAGGGAAATTGGTTTATAGTTTTTTTTCCCCTCTGTTTTTTCTCTTCCTGGTTTAGGTAAAAGCACTATGTTTGTGTCACAAAAAGAATTTGGTAGGACTCCTTCTTTGCCTACTTTCCCAAATAGTTTATATAATATTGGAATTAACTCTCTTTAAATGTTTGGCAGAATTCACTTGTGAATCTATCTGGTTCTGGCAATTTATTTCTTAGGGAGCTCAATTTCTTTTTCTAAGATGGGGTTATTTAAGTATTCTATTTCCTTTTCTGTTAATCTGGGCAATTTATATTTTTGTAAATATTCATCCACTTCACTTAGATTGTCAGATTTATTGGTATATAATTGGGCAAAACAGCTCCTAATAATTGCCTTAAATTCCTTTTCATTGGCAGTAAATTCATTTTTGATACTGGTACCGTGGTTTTCTTTCTTTTTTTTTTTTAAATCAAATTAACCAATGATTTATGTATTTTACTGTCCCCCCTCCCCCACCATAAAACCAGCTCCTAGTTTTATTATTATTAGTTCAATGGTTTTCTTACTTTCAATTTTACTAGTCTCTCCTTTGATTTTCAGATTTACAATTGGGTGTTTAATTAGGGATTTTAAATTTGTTCTTTTTCTAGCTGCCTGCTCAATTTCATTGATCTGCTCTTTTTCTATTTTATTGATACAAATTTCCCTCTAAATACTGCTCTGGTTATATCCCATAAATTTTAGTATTTTGTCTCATGATTGTCACTTTCCTTAATGAAATTATTGATTGTTTCTATGATTTTTTCTTTGACCCACTTATTCTTTAGCATTAGATTATTTAGTTTCCAATTAATTTTAAATCTATCTTTCCATGGCCCCTTACTGAATGTAATTTTTATTGTATTATGATTTGAAAAGGATGCATTTAATATTTCTGCTCTTCTGCATTTGGCTGTGAGGTTTTTATGCCCTAATACATGCTCAATTTTTGTGCAGGTGCCATATATCTCTGAGAAAAAGGTATATTCCTTTATGGTCCCTTTCAATTTTCTCCAGAGAACTATCATATCTAACTTTTAAAAAATCCTATTCATCTCCTTAACTTCTTCCTTGTTTATTTTGGTGGTTAGATTTATCTAATTCTGAAAGGACAAAGTTGAGGTCCCTCATTTATATAATTTTATTGTCTATTTCCTCCTGTAACTCATTTAATTTTTCCTTTAAGAATTTGGATGTTTGGGGGCAGCGAGGTGGCACAGTGGACACAGCACCAGCCCTGGAGTCAGGAGGACCTGAGTTCAAATCCTGCCTCAGACCTTAACACTTACTAGCTGTGTAACCTTGGGTGAATCACTTAACCCCACTGCTAGCCAAAAAAAAAAAAAGAATTTGGATGCTATACCATTTGGCACATACATGTATGTTTAGTATTGATATTACTTCATTGTCTATGGTACCTTAATGCCAAAAAACCCAGCATGAAGGGAAAGAAAGAGAAATTCCTTTAAAATCATCACAGAATATATAAAATACATGTGAGTCTACCTGCCAAGTCACATGCTAGAACTAAATACAACTACAAACAACTGGTTACAGAAATACAAGCCTAAATAATGGAAAAAATACCAGTTCCTCACAGGTAGGATGAAAATACTACCTAAATTATTTATTCAATGCCATACCAATCAAGATACCAAAGGACTGCTTTACAGAACTAGAAAAAATATTAACAAAATTCACAGAGAGGAAAAAAAAAGGTCGAGAATCTGAAAAGAAATAATGAAAAGAAAATGAAACAAAGAAGACCAGCAATAACTGAAACAATTTGGGACTGATCAAAAAGTAGAAAGACTGGCCAGTGGGATGGATTAGGTATGTAACACACAGAAAGAAATGTTTCTAATACCCTACAATAGTATTTGATAAACACAAGGACTTCAGCTACTATGATAAAGATTCAATATTTGACAAAAACTGCTGGGAAAATTGGATAGCAATATGGAAGAAATTAGATTTAGATCAACCCCTAACACTTCATACAAAGTTAAATTCCAAATATATATTGGACCTAAACATAAAAAAGATCACATTATAAAAGTTTTTGCACAAATAAAGCTGAGATTAAAGGGAAGCAATTAACTGGGAGAAAATCTTAGCAGCAAGTTGCTTGGATAAAGGTTTCATTTCCAAGATATATAAGGAACTGATTCAAATTTATAAGAATATAAGGCAGGGTGTCAAACACAAATAGAAACTAATCCTTGAAATTGTGAATTAACATTATCTATGTTGTATTGTATTTTTATTTATTTACACATTTCACAATCACATTTTTAATCTGGTTCAGGCTGCACTCGGGGAGTTTTGCTGGTATTGGCCAGGAGTTTGATACCTCTGGTCTAAGGTTCTTAGGGGACGAAACCCAGGGAATCTACAAAATACTCCAGTCTATATGACCAAAAATGCTCCAGATCATTATTAATTAAAGAAGTATAAATTAAAGCTCTTCTGAGAATCCACCTAACACCCATCAGGTTAGCAAAGACTGTGAAAAGAAAATGATAAATATTGAAGGAGCTATAGGAAAACACTGATACACTATTGTTGGACCTGTGAGTGAGTACATCCATTAGAAATGCATTCCATTAGAAAGACATGACAGATTTAGGGTACAGAATTTACGTGTATATGTGTATGTGTACGTGTATGTTTATGTGTACTTGTGTGTATACATACACACTCAATTTTTTCCAGTGAAATATGAAGCAAGATTCTCAGCTGAAAAAGTGGAAGGAGGGAGATCCGTGGGGAAGTTTGAGGACGATGAAAAGGTTTGGAAAAGTCACTGTGGTGACTGGGATGGTGAGCCTAAAGTGAGGTGTAAAAGGATTGCTTTGCAGCAGTGAGGGCCCAGGTAACACTATGTGAGATCAATCTGTAGTGGACTCAGCAGTTTCATGACTTCAACCTCATTCTGCAGCATGAGAACAGGAGAAAAGATAGCAGATAGTGAATATAATCCAAGTGTGAGGTTTGGCAGGGCAACATGATAAGAGGGCAAAGGACTCAAGGAGATAGTGCAGAGTTGAACTGAGACAATGCAGAGTTGAACTGACTCACCAGCAGGTCAAGATGAGGAAGGAAGAAGAATGTAGGCAGGGCAAGGAACTGAGGGGTGGAGGGACTGACTGGAGGTTGTGTTGAAAATGAAGAACAGGGTTTGAGGTTTTAAGGCAGAGAGAGAAGTGGAACGACAATAGATAATGAATTCCGGAGTTCATGAATACTGAAGCAGAACACTTGTGGGTGATGGCAACATAAAGGTATGGCTCTCTGTTTTGTTTGAGGCCCTGAGCCACCCTCCATGAGAGATTAAACGTATTCTAATAAAAGCCTTATTAATTTATGCTTTACTACTCCATCTGATCCTTTTGTAAAACTGCTATTAAGGACTGAAACTGATAGCTCTAAGAGTTAGAAAGTTTTTCCCAACATCAAACCTCAATCTGACTCTTTGATGCTTCTAAGCACTGATTCTCGTTTTTGCCCACAATATCAGCACTTCAGATACTTGAAGAATGCTAACATGTCTCTCTCTTAAGTCTTCTCTTCTTCAGGTTAAACAACCTTAGCTCCCTTTACCCAGGCTTTACTCTCCTCCTTGTTAATGCTGTTCCTAAAATGTGGTGCCCTGAACTGAAGAGAACAATTCAGTCAGACCAGTGCACAGTACAGTGAGATAGGCTTAGCCCAGCGCCTGGGCATGTACTCAGACTAAATCCATTCTCATTCTCTCTCTCTCTCCCTCTCCCTCCCTCCCCCTTGTCACTGACTCTCTCTCCTTCCCTTTCTAGCCATCTCTCTTTTTCTTACCTTCCCTCTCTTTCTCTTTCTGTTTTTCCTCCACCCCCAGTGACTGCCTCTCAAAGTCCAAGACTTCATAGCTTTTTCTGACTTCCATTTTGCACCATCAACTCATTGAGCTTGCAGTTCCCTAAAAACATTGTTTCTGTTATCGCTAGGTATGCCTTACCCATTTATGAAACTGATTTTCTTGGACCAAAATGCAAAATCTACCTCTAATAAATTTCCTAACTAGTCCACATTATAGCCTATTGAGAGCTTTTTAAAAATTCAGACTGTTATACCAAATGTTGTTAGTTATCCCACTCAGCTTTGTATTATCCAGACATCTGAGAAGCTTGTCATCAATATCTATATGCAAGTCATTGATAAAAACGTCAAACTATATTGGGCCACGGCCAGATGCTGGGGCCACTTCACTATAAAACTGTCTCAAATTTGACATGAGGACATTAAAGACTGCTCTTTCAGTGTGGGCATTCACTCAACTACTCCTGAACCCACTCACATACACTATTGTCGAACCCCCATCTCTCCATCTTGTCTATAAGAACAGCATGGCGATTTTGTCCCATGTTTTGCTGAAATCAAGGCAGACTATGCCTAAAGCTTTCCCCTGACCTATCAGTCTAATACCAAAATGAAAGTACATAAATAAAATAATGCGCTGTGTTGTCAGATAAGGAAGAGATGACACCAGTCTTGGGGGTGAGGGAAACAGGTAATGATGAAATTAAATTCAGCAAAAAAATTCAGCCATAGATCGTCATAAAAATGCTGTGCCTCTTACAGAGCCCAAATTGAGTCTAATACAAACATTTGATTTTGCATCAAGACCTCAAAGAGCACTAGTGCTAACTATTTCCAAGTTTCCAAGTTGTTTTCGTGAAACTGAACTATTATATGAAAAGGAAATATATGAACAGAAGAGAGGAATTAAGATTACTTTATGAATACAAATTCATGAAGAAAAAGAAAAACATCTGTGGTGAGAAAGTTTGTGGATAAAAGATTTGAATATGTCTCTCTATATTTATATATACACATTTAGTTTCAATAAAATTTATCTTTCACAAATGATTTTAAAAGATCTAAAATCGGAGCAGCTAGGTGGCGCGGTGGATAGAGCTCTGGCCTTGGAATCAGGAGAACCTGAGTTCAAATTTGACCTCGGCCACTTGACACTTACTACCTGTGTGACCCTGGGCAAGTCACTTAATCCCAACTGCCTCACCAAAAAGAAAAAAAAATGTAATTGTTAAGGGGCAGCTAGGTGGTGCAGTAGATAGAGCAGTGGCCCTGGAGTCAGGAGGAGCTGAGTTCAAATCTAGCCCCAGACACATAATACTTCCTAGCTGTGTGACTCTGGGCAAGTCACTTAACCTCAATTGTCTCACTAAAAAAAAAAAGATCTAAAATCTAGAGAAACAATACAGAAATTAAATTACATCTAATATGTAATATAACAGTAAGAAAAAAAGTCCAGGTTGTATGGCACACAGAAATGGTTCATATATCATGCCTGCCTTTATTGCTCCTCCTCTTCTATCAAAGTGCTACCTCTTCTTCAGGACTTAGTTGAGTCCTAGGTTCTTCTGTGAAGCTTGCCCTATGACCTTGAGTTCAGACTGATCTCCCTCCCACCTACCCAAAGAAAAATTCTGGAAGGAAACAAATTGTGAAGGAAGTATCTGACCAAAAGCAATATAATGAAGAAAAAAGCAAAATTAGGGAGAAAAAAACCCCTTTGCCTTGATGCGAAATTGATGTGGCAAGAACAGGCTCTGTGAAGGAGGGACAAGACCCTTTTTCGGACTTTCTAAGTGCGTGCACTCAGTGTGCAGGAGAACATAATAAGAAGGCTAAGGGGGGGGGGGACACAAAGAAACCATTGTACTTACCTACAGCAGAGAGAATACATCCGGTTACAAGCGGTAATCCTAAAATACTCCGTTTTGGAGCGGGAAGAATTGCCACTTATGGTTCCCAGACCCAAACGCTGATAGTCTCGGAAACAGGCACGTTCCACTAACTGTTCCATTGTTGACTTTTCAGAAGCCTTCAGGGTTGTACTGGTGGGCAGTTCACTGTCATCTGAAACTGTGATAGTAAAAACACATTTATAAGAAAGGAGAAAGTGAAAAAAAATAGCGCCTAAAAACTTCTGGGAGACACTTATATTTAGTATAGAGGGGTTTAATTCAAACGGGTATTAAAGATGGTTAGAACAGCACACATAAATATCCACATAGCATTTTTTTCTTGTTGCTGTAACTCTTTACAAAAAAAAATCATATTCAAACACATCTACAAGAAGTATTTTTTTTTCCAGGAATGATGGGAGATGTTCAGGAAAATTAATGCCAAGAGATAATTTTATTACCATTTCACTCATATTCTCAGTGCCATTAAACAAATTCTTGTTATTTAAAAGTAGTTCCAATTTGACTTGATATCCAAGATCTCTTATTTTAGTTAGGTTTGTTTATGAAGGCCAGGCAGGTTGTGACGGGATATGAGGCTGAGAATAATATATCAGAGTCCTACACCGGTGATCTTCAACTCCAACAAAATTGCTGTACAAACTCAGTCCTGACATCGTTTGGATGGTAAATGAATTTCACTATTCAAGGATGTAAACTTAGGTCCTTTGATTCCAAACACAGTGCTTGTGAACCAATTTCTAATGTTTCTAAGGGAAATCTTGAGCCAAAGAATGTGATTATGTGAGAAGTGCCCAAGAGGGAACCTGGTTCATGTAAACCTGGAGCTGAGGGGTTCTGGGTCAGAGGTTAAAAATCCAAGTTATAATTACTGCTGCTTTGCCATTTTGCTATTCATTTTATTTTAGAATCCTCCCAGGAAAAATCTAGCAAAATATTTATAATGGAAGCTGGGTCTACTTTCCTTCGGGAGTACAGAATTTTCTATGCTTGTAGGCTTTCTCTGGAAGGATAATTCTTTTTTTTTTTTCAAGTGCTGTCAAGGACAGTATTCCTTGAAAGCAATGAGCTATTGAACTAGATGATTTAAAGAGAAGTTATAGCTAAGCACAGATTCAGACCACCAGAGCTGGAAGGCTCCTTAAAAGCCCACCTGATCCCTCCTTTGAGAGAGGGTAACATGGAGACTCAAAATAGGGGAAGGTAGTTGCTCAGGTCCCACAGCATGTTAGCAGAGGTGGGTCTGGAACCCTCATTTCCTGATGCTCAGGGCTCTAACTTTTTTTTTTTGGGGGGGAGTGAGGCAATCAGGGTTAAGTGACTTGCTTAGGGTCACACAGTTAGAAACAGAGAGCAGATTTGAACTCAGGTCCATCCTGACTCCAGGGCCGGTGCACTATCCACTGTACCACCTAGCTGCCCCTTCTAACATGTTCTAAATTACGGTAATGTCCTAAATAACTCTAGTCATTTCACTCAATATATTAAAAAATTAAATTTTTAAATAAGAAAGACTGTGTGTAATAATTTATTGTTTATAAACATCTATTACCACCTTGGTCCACAGAAACCATGGAGATGAGATGGTTTTTTCCTCCATTTTTTCTTGAATTAATGAAACTTAAGAGTTTTAGTTTCCTCATCTATAAAATAAAGTAACTAAAGACGGTTTCTACCTGCCCTACCCTTTAATCTTGATCTATTTCCAACAGCTGAATGCTCTTCACTTGCCTCTCTGGAAGGGTTCCTTCTCGTAGTGGGTTTCAGAAGCATATCCTTGTGATTTCATTGATTTTGGAAGCAGGAGCAGGGAGAAGTTACCAGTTGGATTTTTGGTTATAGCTTCTTGCCTGTTACAGTACATCACTGCTTTCTATTCTGCTCTTCTAAGATTTCTCTCATCTGATATGTTCATGTGTTGGTGAAATGGTCCATTTGTTCTCCCTGGTGTGTGCCCACCCCACACTGACACAGATAAAGGGATGTTCATTAGAATGCTATGGCCAATAAAAGACTGATCTCTCAGTGGGCAAACTTCTAGCGATGACTCTCTCTACACTTGCCTAAACTGGTCTTTGGCCAATAAGCAAACAATCCAATACTAGGTCAATATTCTGGGTAGGTAGGACCTTGAAGGCTAATGAGTCAACATCAACTATGTGCCTGTTATGTGCCTTTGCTGTGCTAAACACTAGGGTTCAAGGAAGGGCATCAAGAAGCTCACGCTCTAATGGGGCAGACAACATTCAAACAACTATGTACAAATAAGATATTCTGAATGGTCAAATGTAGGCAATCTCAGAGAGAAGGTACTAGTATTAAGAAGTACCAGGAAAGACTTCTTCCCAGTAGGGGATTTTAGCTGAGACCCGAAGGAGAGACAAGAAGGAGAACAAGACAAGAAGGTGCAAGGAACACAAGGGAGGCCAACGTCCCTGGATCCCAGAGCCCATGAAAGAGATGAAAGCATAAAAAGGCTGTAAAAGTAGGGAGGACTTGACAAGCCAAAAGGAGGTCTTTATAATTGATCCTTGGGGTAACAGGGACCCACTGGAGTTTACTGAGTAAGAGGCTAACACAGTCAGACCTGTCTTTTGGTGGCTGAGTGGAGAATGGATTGAAATTGGGAGAAACTTCAAGTAGGGAGACTGACCAGACCTTGGCTTGTACAGGCAGCACCTACAAGAACTCAAGGTCCCCTCCCTGTCCACCACTACATACAGGTCCTGTCAGATGTTTCTCTTTTCAGTGAACTTGGGAAAGCAGCCCTCCTTCATCACTAAGAGCCTAGTCCTTAGAGCATGCTCTGTCTAACCCAAAAAGGACAAATTTGAACATGTTATCCACTCCTTTTGTCCAAGTACACGTGCACATGCACGCCCACATACACACACTATACAGAAAAATACTTGATTTCCTCACCATGTTTGGCTGGTAATGCTGTTTGTGAACCCTGAAGTTTAATGTTGACAGACATAGCAAGGCAGCTTTAGAAATGTGAGACATGGAGACCATTGAACAAAATCTACCTCATCACTGGAAAACTGTGAAAGTCTAATTGTGGGATTCTGGTCAGCAGCCAAAATTTTCCCTAGGAAATCTGGGTCTTGGAAACCCATGGCTAGAGGGCTGCTAAATTCTACACCAGAGTGTGATTCCTGGCATTCTCAACAATTTTCTGTGTCATCTTGAGCAAATAATTTAATCTCATTAAGCTTCATTTCTCTTAGATCTAAAAGGAGTGTCTAAACTAGATGACCTGTAGGGCCTTTTTCAGATTATTGCCTGTTACAGTAGGATCCTTGTCTCCTACACAGAGTCAAAACACAATTTAATTATGAAATAGAATTTGTGTGTACCAGAGATGTCATCCTCTTCATTCCACCCAGGACGATTTCCTCGCTCTTCCACAATCGTTCCTGTTCTCCTCTTCAACAAATACTGGCGACCAATGGTCATTTTCCCTGCTCGTTTGGCACCTTTCACTATTGTTTTTGAAAAAGTGCTACAGATCACAAATCAAACAAAATACTCATTAGAATTTGAAAAAAAAATACTTGAATTCTAGTATTCACAAACACTTCACAGACTTACCCCCTCTTTATCTCCTTGCTGCCAGCCTGACCCAGGCCTTTCTCACCTTATAAGGACTTCACTGCAACAACTCCTTGACTGGTTGCCCTGATCTAGTTTCAGGTCTTCTAAACCACCGTGCACTTGGTAGCTGGATTAGCTCTTATTCAAGCATCACTTTCATTATGTAAGGTTTACTTTTTCATTTAGAACATACAATCACTCTCTATTGCTTACTTCATCAAGCCAAAACTTCCCTACCTTGCTTCCAGGACTCTCCACAATCCAGGCCTGTTCTCTTTCCCCTTATTTCCTACTGTTCTCCAATAGAACTGCATAAGATCCCAGCATGTTGGATAATATAGTGATTCTAGGGCCCGTCTGGCAGAATGACAGGAGCACAGGCCTGGGAATCAGGAGTTCTGGGTAGTTCTGGGTAGTTCCATGTCAGCCACTAATTAGCTAGCTGTGTATCTTTGGACAAGTCCTTTATAATGAGCCTCACTTTCCTCATCTGTAAAAATGAGGGCATTGAACTAGATGAGTTGAGCTCCTTTTTAGCACAGATATTCTGTAATATTATGCTTATAATTACCTAAAATATTTGTACTTTTTTTCATGGTGTCTGATATTCATGGTCTCTAACTGGTAGAACTGATAATAGGAGTCCCAAGATGGCAGAGTGTTTTCAGGTGGCTAGTTGTATATTATCAATAGTCTGTATTAATGGCAACTACAAACATCCTACACTTCTAGTTTGCAAACTATAGGGGACACCGTATGCCTTTTCTCCATGTTTATAAAGGTCCCCCCTCCTCACTCTAGTACAGGTTATATAGAACCTGGCCAATAGTACTAATATACTTTTGATGACACTGATCATTTAACTAATTAGAATTAGAAACTCCAGCTCTCACAATTTATTGTGATCTTACCTAATTTAAAAATCAAAGTGACTAAAGGCTTGGCAATAACCCCACAATCAAGCCTGGCAGCACAGAGAGAATGTAGAGAGAACTTCTTACCGGAAAGAAGTATTCTTCTCTTTCTGCTTGGGTAAGATGACCTGTGGGGCAGTCTGGCCAGCAGCAAAGGCAAAGGTGCTGAAGATTGATGGGGGGTAGCGGGCCTTCATCAGCTGCTTCTTAAAGATCTCCACCGCCTCAGGACTTACTTCTTCATCAAAGGCCACTTGGATCAGCTGCAGACCAGAGAGAGAAAACGCATTAGGTTTGGTTACCAGGCATTCCAGAGCTGCTTGCCAGCAGCAGGTTCAGGGGGAAGGCTTGGCCTTGCTCTTTTGTCATCATTTAAATAACTCATCTCTTGAACGCCAGCAGCAGGTTCAGGGGGAAGGCTTGGCCTTGCTCTTTTGTCATCATTTAAATAACTCATCTCTTGAACGCCACGTCTATACTGAGGAAAAACAAGGGTGTTGGGAGAAAGAGGCAGACTTGGGAGATACAACTGTAATCTCAAATCCAACACTGTGCTACCAGATGAAAGCTGCTCCACCTCTCAAGTCTTTGTTTCTTCATATGTAAAATGGGGATGATCACACCAGTTAATATCTATTTTAGAGGGCTGTTCTGAGGACTAAATAAGATAATTTGTGTAAAGCATTTTGCAAATCTTAAAAAATTATATACAACTAGTTATTATTATTATTTTATTGGTGAAGTAGCTAACATACCACTGTTAGTTTATAATTCAATTACACTCACATTCACTAAGTGCCTACTGTGCTAGGAAATGGAATCTACAAACTAATAATATTAACTGACAGGTATACAGCACATTAAGGTTAGCAAAATATTTTATATACATTATTACATTTGATCTTCACAAACCTCTGTGACAATTAGATGCTATGGTCATTATTATGCCCATTTTACAGATGAGGAAACTCAGGACGAGAGAGAGTAAGTGCCTTGCCCAGGGTCAGACAGCTAGGAAGTACCTGAGGAAGAAGTCAAACCCAAGTCTTCTTAACTCCAAGGCCAGTGTTCTGTCCACTATGCCACCTAGCAGCCACGAGAGGCTGGAGGAAATGTATGCCATATTGTGCCAGTAGCTGACTCTCTCCACCTGGGCACATGGCCCAACAGGTCTACCCAGATGGGCCACAAGACACTGGCTAGAAAGCTCTTGGCCAAAACTCATGGTCACGTGGATGGCCCATACGATGTTCACTGTGGAATAGCTGGCAGTCTGAATAGTCAGAAGAAGCCAAATGGCATTTGTCCATGGCAGTATGAAAATATCTTTGTTACCAATGCAGTTCAGAGTCTTTAGACATCCAAAAGTGCATGGGAAGAGCAGATTCCCAGCCCCTGGGAAATGGGAAAACCAAGGTTTACTGAACACTGACCTCACCTACCACTTTGTCGCCATCTTTAGGAGAGTCTGTCTTGGCCAGAGTGATGGTGTGAAAGCGTGCCATAATGCATTAATAAAGCATGCTCTCTAGACCCAGAGTCAGGAGACCTGGGTGATAGTTTGGCTTTGTCACTAACTAGTTGGGGCAAGTCTGGATTTCAGAAATCACCTAAGGCCCATAGCTTCCAGCTGTTTTTGAATATAATGACCCCTTGGGTGAAAATGTTTTTGGCATTTACATGATCAGGTAGACTGTTAGTATTGGTTGATTAAGAAAAGACATGACAAAAAGTTACTATAAATCCAGTAACACTTTTTTCTTTTAAATTTTAAATAATTTATTTATTTTTAATTTTCAACATTCACTTCCATAAGATTTTGAGTTTTAAATTTTCTCCCCCTCCCTCTCCTTCCAGTAACACTTTTAAATGAATTTGGATCTTATTCATCAAAACAGTCTTGAGAGCATCATCTTGGCCGGGAGGTGATCTTGGCTTCTCAAAGGCTGTGCCAGGGGAGTACCAGCTGTGGAGAGGCCTAAAAGACTACAGAGCTTTACAACATAGTCCCAGGGAGGGCCTACATCTATTTCTAAGAATCTGCGTAAGTAAGAACTAAGTAAGATACCACCAGAAGCTGCCACCGGATGATTAATTCTTTGGTCAGGGTAACCCATGATAAAAAGAAGAAAAATACAAAATGGTCTTCCGTTTTGCATGGCTCCATTCTGTTTTTACTGAGACAATGAGAATGATGGAATGTGGGGAAGAGAACGCTAAGAATCGCTGTCTTTAGAGTGTCTACATGAACATTAATTTAACTATTGGTGCTGTGAATGTGAGAACCTTGTTCAGTGACCATTGAGTGGACATATTAGTGGAAGGAATCAATCATATCATTCTTGACATTCTTCCTCTAAATGAAACCAGAAGACAAAGGGAAACTGAAGCTAAATTAATGGGTGACTCACAGGTTCCTCTTGGAAAGGCTTTTGGAATATCACTTTGGCAGTTGTGCAAAATGTACTGGAGATGGGAGACTAGAAGTGGGAACACCAATCAGGAAAGAATTGTGACAGGTAAGAGGTGATGATGGCCTCAATTAGGACAGTGGATACAGGAGTAGTGAAAAGATGATGGATGCAAGAAACATTCTGGAGACAGAACTGATGAGTCTTGCAACTTGGTTGGATATATGGAATGAGAGAGTATGAAAAAGCAAGGAGGACCCTAGTTGCAAACCAGGGTAATAGGAAGGATGGTGGTGTTATTGACAGAAGCAGGGAAATTAGGAAGAAGTTTGAGTTTAAAGGAAAAGACCTTGAGTTCCATTTTGGACCTGCTGAATTAGAAATGCCTACAGGAAACGTAAGTGGAGGTGCTCATCAAGCATCTCGTTAGTGATGTAGGACTATACAGAGCTCAGGAGAGATGACAGCTGAAGAGGCAGATATAACAGTCATCTGTACGGAGCGGATGCCACAGGAACTGAAGAGATTAGTAAGACAGAGAACTTGGAGAAACAAGAGGGCCCAGGAGAAAACCCTAGGGTACACGTAGGCATAGGGGATGAGACTTACATGATGATCCAGCAGAGAAGACTAAGAAAGAGTGGTCAGATAGACGAGACGAGAACTGGGAAAGAGGTGTCCTGCAAACGCAAGGAGGAGGCAGTAATCTACAGTGTCACGTGACATGGAGTGGCCATGAAGAATTCAGTCAAGGCCTTTGGGAGTAGATTGTTCCTAAAGTCTCATTTCCACTTTAACTTCCTCTGACTAATACTAATCAGACTATATTATCTTGACGATTCCGAGGTCAGAGAAATTTAAAGGCTACCCCAAGAGAAATGTCAGGGGAAATGGGTTCTTTTGCAGCACACTATTTGTCAACAGGGTTCTCTTCTGAATAAACCAGACCTTGTCTCCACAGTTCCCTACATAGTTTCCCTAATTGAAACCACAGTCTCTTACTAGGAGGAAGATGATCATCCCCATATGGAGCGTGGCCATGGGGCAGTGGAGTTTGTTGCAATGTCTCCAAGGTTACCTTCTAGTAGGCTTGGCTCTCGATATGCCTGAACTCTTCCTGAAGCTTTTTATTACACTCTCATCCTCCACATCATCAACAGTTTCATTCTCTGTGTTCCCTTTTTCAAGACTTTGTCACCTTTTCACTGGACTACTGTAATAGCCCATTAACTGCTTTCCCCACCCCGAGTCTTTAACCTCTCCAGTATCACCTTCATATAGCTTCTGGAGTAACAATCTTAAACCTTCAATGGCTCCCCATTGCTCAAAGGATTCAAGGCTTGTCACAACAGGGATTCGACCTACTTTTCAGCCTTATCTCACAGTTTTTCTTAAAAGCTCTATATTCAAATCAGAACAGACTCCTCATTGTTCTTCAGTCTTATCCCATCTTCTCCTGACTCCAAGCATTAGTGCAGACTGGTTGAGTTTATCTGCAATGCACTCCCAATTGTCTCTGACTATTGAAACTTTTGTTTTCCTTTAAGTTCTTTGAGGAAGCTAGGAAGACCTGAGTTCAAATCTAGCACCAGATGCTTATTAGCTATGTAACCTTGGGCAAGTCCCTTAAGCTCTGTCTGCCACAGTTTCCTCATCTGTAAAATGGAAATAACACCTACCTCCCAAGGTTGTTATGAGGACAAAAATGAAACAATATCTGTAAAGTGCTTTGCAAATCTTTAAGCTCTACACGTAAATACCAGCTTATTATTAAGCTCCAGCTCAGGAGTGATTTCCTTCACAAAGCCTTCCCTGAGTGGCTCCTCCCCCACACCCCACCAAACTAGAAGTGCTTTCTCCATTCCCAGTTTCTTTTTTTTTTAGGCATTTGGGGTTAAGCGACTTACCCAGGGTCACACAGCCAGTAAGTGTCAAGTGTTTGGTCTGAGGCTGGATTTGAACTCAGGTCCTCCTGACTTCAGGGCTGTCCCCATTTTCTTATAGCACTTTGGATCTGTCATTTGCCCCTGGCCTACTCCACCCCATATCATCCATATTCATGTATGTCTCATCTTTTCCCAATTTAACTGTAAGCCACTGGGGGAGTGGGAGGTCTTCACCATTTTTGTGCCATTTTTTTTTTTAACCTTTGTATCACCTAGTGCCTGACATAGTAGGTCTTTATTAGATGTTTACTGAATTGAACCTGGTCTAGTCCAACCGGCAGGTCCCTTTTAAACTCCACCACATCATTCCCTCCCTGGTACCTGGAAGGAGGCCGATGTGATCTGCATCCCCTCCTGCATGTTCTGCTGCAGCTGGTTTGGGATGGTGATCTTCTTCTCCTTGGTGATGGACGCTATGGGAAAGCTTCGCACGACTGTCTGCTCACCAACTAAGACAGAACACAGACTGTGGGTTAGTTCACCAGGGACACCACTGTCTTTCAGACACTTCCCTGGAGAAAGAGAGACGGAGATGGCTGGGGCAAAACCTGAGCAAGAGACTTTCTCTTGCTCAGTGACAATGGCTTAGAGGAAGAGTGAATGCTGCTCATCTATTACCTGCAGATTGGTTCTCATCTCACCTCGGGATTGTTGCAACATTTCCCTCCAATCTCCAGCCTAGTTGCTGTCTGTCTGAAAGAACAGCAGCTTGGAGGTCAGCAGGTGCCTATCACAGCACTGTGGCATGGAAAGAGTTCAAAGCCCTGGCTCTGCCACTTCCTGAGTGACTTTGGGCCTCAACTTCTACATCTGGCAGTCAACCAACATTTATTAAATGCCTACTATATGCCAGGCATTGTGCTAAAACGAGGATGATATTATTTGTACTACATGACTTACAGGGGCATGGTGGGCATCAAATTAGTCAGTGGCCACGAAATGCTTTGCCAAATAATGTCTGTGTAAAACAGGGGTCCTTAACCTGAGAGTCCATGGACAGATTGCACGGGGACTGCGAAGTCAGAGGGGAAAAAATTCCATCTTTTTTTTTTACTAACTTCTAACTGAAATTTAGCATTTTCTTCACTTACTTAGAAACATTATTCTGAAAAGGGGTCCTTGACTCAAGTCCTCAGACTGCTTGAGGGGTCATGCCACAAAAACGGTCAAGAACTTCTGGAGTAGGGGCAGCTAGGTGGCTGTGCGGATAGAGCTCTGACCCTGGAGTCAGGAGGACGTGAATTCAAATCTGCCCTCAGACACTGGACACTTACTGGCTGTGTGACCCTGGGCAAGTCACTTAATCCTGATTGCTTCACAAAACAAACAAACAAACAAACAAAAAACCTTCCAGAGTACAGCAAAGAGGGGCTTGTATTTTTAGAGCTTAATCACCTAGGATAAAGAATCAAATACTAAAAATATCTGCCTGAGTAAGGATGAGGGGTTTAGTGTCAGACCAAGTCAGGATGAGGGGTAGGCAAGCTAGGCAGGTAACTGGGGTAAATAGTTAAGGATGTAACAAAGGACACTTTATAATCTGATTTTGCATAAATGGACATGATATTAATGCCCACTAATTCTGTTCTCTGAGGTATAGAGATATTTCTTTTGTGAAAAGTCCTGTATGTTACACCAAAGTAACTCTCCATGTCCTGAGACAGTCATACACAGGAAGATGCCACAGCCAAGCCTCATAAGGGGCATATATGCTCCTTTGCCTAGCTCTGACTTCAGGTCTTGGGTTTCTAGAAGTTTAAATAGTAAAGTTACATGAGGTCAAGGGATGTACTAAATGCAAGGCACTGGAGAGGACACAAGTAGCAGGGGACAGTTTCTCCATTAGGATGTTCACAAACGAATCTGGGAGGCAAGGATTCTTTTTAGTTGACATCGTACTTGGGACACTCAATATTCACAGATGTGTAGGAGTGAGGGCCTGCAAGAGGTAGAAGGGCAGACATTTAGTTGGCTCCTGGCATTTGTGGATTTACTGGGCTAGACATAGGTTCCTAATAACCTGCTTATGTCATCAAGAAAGACTCGACCAAAATAGAAATCAATGCAAATCGCCTGGCTGCAGTGGGGAGGCAGGTCAATGAGCACAGGGTGATTTCTTTATTAGATTTTATATAATTAGGGGACTGGGAATTCAAAACAATTCACTTTATCTTCTATCTCCGATTGCCTATTGGACAGCTTAAAAAATGAGTACAAAATAGAACTCCTTATCTTTTCCCCCAAATCCTCCCTCTTCTTAACTTCCATATTATTCCTGAAGGTTTCCCCACCCTCTTAATCACTCAGGCTCAAACCATCCCCCTCTCTCTCATCCCCACATACAATCTTACCAAGGCCAGCTGATTTGACCTTCATTATGTCCCTTGCAGATGGCCCCTTCTCTCCTCTGACACTGCCACCAGCATGACAAGGCCCCCGTCCCCTCATGCTTGGATTGCTGGGACAGCCTGCTGACTGGTCTTCTTGCCACAAGTCTCTCCCCATTACAATCCATTCTCCATTCAACAATCAGAGTGATCTTCCTAAAGTGAAGGTCTCTACTCAGTGACTCCCTGCACCTCCAGGCCTCTGTTTGGCTTTTAAAGTCCTTCATGACCTCCCCACCCTCCTCTGCCTTTCCAATCTTCTCACACATTACTCCCTCACCCCTACCTTCTCTGTGATCCAGTAACACTGGCCCCCTTTTGTTCCTCATCTCCTGACTCACAGCATTCCCACTGGCTGCCCCTCATGCCTGCAGTGCTCTCCCCCCTCATCTCTGCCTCCTGGCTTCTTTCAAGTTCCAACTGAAATCCCACTTTCTGCAAGAAGCCTTTCCTTATCCCCCTTAGTGCTAGTGCTTTCCTTCAGTTGATCATTTCTAATTTATCTGCACATAGCTTGTTTGTACAAAATTGTTTGCATGTTGTCTCTCCCATAGGACTATGAGCTCCTTGAAATCTGGGAATGTCTTTTGCCGCCTGGTAAATAGTAGGTACTTAATAAATGCTTATTAACTGACTTTACATAAGTTAGCTCATTTGATCCACACAATAACCCTGTGAGGGAGGTGCTATTATTATTCCCATTTGATATAAGAAAACTGAGGCTGAGAGAGGTTGTGACTTGTTCCGGGTTATGCAGCTAGTAAATGTCTGAGGCAAAATTTTAACTTGGGTTTTCCTGACTCCAAATCTGTTACTATACCACAATCTTTCCAAGGTCAACGAAAGTGGTTTAACAATCACTTTGTCAGTGTTTCAGAAGCCACAAATACAGTTCATCTGGGCTTGGTGACCTGAATTCATTAAGTTCCACCTGTCCTGCCTTTGTGTCCTCCAGACCCCCTTGGGTCTTGCCAGTTGCCCTGTGGCTGAATCCTCCTGGAAATGTGGCCTCTCGCTATGAGAGGATGAGGTCCTGGAGGGCAGGAAGTGCCTCCATCTTGCAGTGAGTGGATACACATGGACCATTCAGTCCTTCTGACTGGACTTGCAAGACTCCAGATCCACACATTTTGTTAGGTGCCTGCATCCCTGGACAGGGGCCTGCTTTCCTCTGCTTTAATCTGTGGTCTAGAAATCTAAACCCCATCCTTAGAATCTTCTTAGCCAGCTGCATGCCCTCCTTCCAGGCATCCCCTTTCTCAGCTGCCTTACCATGCTGCTGACTCCCATGGAGCTTTTTCAGATGAACTGCTCACTGAACAGTTCCCTCCCCTTTCCCCCAACATTTTGTACTTCTGAATCTGATCTTTGGACAAAATGTAAGATAGGTATAAGGACAGGGAGTGATTTCATTTGGTACAGGAAGCTCCTAGGTGGGGACATTCCCTTTATCAAGGCAGGTTAGCAACTTCTCTTCAAATGATAGTCTTAGAGAGTTGCCTAGAGCATCCAATTGTTAAGTCTTTGCCTTCATTCCTATTAAATTTCATGTTATTAGATTTGCCCCAAGATTTTTTTGTATCCTGACTGTGCTATCCAAAACATTAGCTACAACTTGTATAAACATGCCATCTACGTTGGTAGTCACTCCTTCATCAAAATCTATGTAGAGATGATAGTTGTAGCCATGGGAACAGAGGAGCTGACCAAGGGGGAGAGTATAGAGAGAGAAGTAGTCCAGGAATCCAGCTGTGCCATTTACTGTCTCCTGCTGGGCAAGAAGGTAAGTCCCTTCCTCACCTGGGCTTTAGTTTTCCTCATCTGTAAAATGGGGACACCTGGCTATTTCCCTCACAGGTCTGTTTGGAGAGTCAAATGAAACAATGTAAATGAAGCACACGGTAAATACCAAAATCATATAAATATCTGAAGCGATTGTCTCATAATGCATGCATGATTTTCTTAATTTCCAAGGCTTTTGATAACTGTGTACTCAATGACTCCTTTTTTTCTTAGGAGACTTTTTGATCAGATTTGACTCCTTAGAGAAGACATGCCTTTGGCTTTGAGGTTACAAAGACAAAAATGAAATAATCTTTCTAAGAAGTAGTAATAATAGGAAAAAGAAATGAGAAAATATTCAGGCTCAGTTACAGGCAAATGCTAAATGGTTGTTCTATGCCTTCTGTAAGAAACCTATCATAGTCTGGAAAATCAAACATCCCCTGAGCATTAGTGTAATACTACTCAGGTGCTGGCAAAGCTTACTAAATTTCTAATAAAGTTTTAGAGCACATAAAATAACTGGTACCATAAAGGAAAAGACAACTTAAATGTACTCTCAGGAGTAAAAATCCTGTACACGTATTCATGTATGAGGAAGACAGCTTGAAAGGTTGCTGCCTTTTTTCCACAGTCATCAGCACATCTGTTCAAATGCCTAAAAATGTTTAAATACAATTTTATTGTTATCATTTGTTTCTCTGTCATCTATATTCCCCACTATATAACATTCCTCTACTCCCCCTACCCAGGACTATGACCATTTTTAACACCCTTTGGTAAAGCATATTCTTTGTTAAAGGGTTTGAATGACAGGATGACACTCTGTCATTGAATGTGGAATGTCAGAGCTAGAAAGGATATTGACCATCTACTTCAATCTCTTAATTATACAGAAGGGGAAACTGAGAACCAGAGTAATTGCTCAAAGTGATGTCGCATGTTGTTGGTACAGCTTGGTTGGGCCCTGGATCTCCTACCCACTGGGCCTTTCTGCCATATTTTCCTGCCTTTCCAATCTGGCTAGTAAATTTGGCACAACTATGGCTGTGAATTGAGATGTTAAGTGATTATAATTTACTAGTCCTTGAGATACATAAAGGTTTAAAGACAACATCTAGGTTAAAAGTAATTCCAGAGCAACAAAAACTAGAGAGAAACGTGATGCAAGAAGCCCTCCAAAGTTGCCTCCCTAGAAGAGGGCATCACAGAGTAAAATGGTGGGGATGAGAAGGCTGAGGCTGCAAAGCCTAAACACAAACCGTCATTTTCCCCAAAAGATTCCTTTATGTTTCAGTGTTAAGACTGACAATAGATCATCTGAGCCAGTCAGGGACAGAAGCTAAGACAGCATGCTCTTAAGGGCACGGTTGAAAGTCTATTCCCTGTTTAGGTAAAGCAGAAAAGTCTATTTGGTAATTATAGACGGCAAATCTAATCTGAGGCACCCATCTCCATAACACTGCTGAGCATCACAAGAGAAATGGGCTGAGGCAGGAGAGATGACTCCAGCCATTCTGCACTGCGGGGGAAGAGCCCTGGAGTCGGGCCACTGGGGAGCTCTGGGTCTTGGGTAACTTACTCAATTCCTCCTGACTCCATTGAGTTTCCTCCAAGGTAAAATCAGGATCATACTTGTGGTACCCTTCTCACAGAGCTGTTATAAGGATCGAATGCGATGGATAAAGTATAAAAAGTGCTCTGTGCACTGCAAAGTGCTATAGAAATGTTAGTCACTCTTTGAAGCTACAGCAGGAGCTTAATAAATGCTTGTTGATTGATCCCCAATTATTAAGTTTTTTTGATCTGCAATTACCAGTAAAGAACTTTCAAGCTAATTCAATATGCCTTAAAGAAACGTAAAAAGTGAGAATCAATAAAAATATCAGGCAGAACTTGGAAAAAAAGACCTGTTCTTATTATTTTCCTTGTAAAAGTGTGGCATCATAGGACAAAATTGAGAAGAATGCTCATTTAGGCTAAGACACTGATTCCAGAGCTGGCAGAAGGTCAGGACCATGATGGGTGGTGGGATTTTCAACTCCATTCAAGGACAGTAATGGAAGCATTCTAGGAAATGAGGTGTTTTTGGCACCCAGTTAATCACACCAAGTAGGTGGCTGGCTGCCTGGTCCATCCACAAGTTTTGCTAGTCCTGAAGTAATTCATTAAGCAAACAGAATGAATGCTCATTTGAACAAATGCACTTGTGATTTATTGTTAGGAAGGTACCTGAGATTCCTCAAATGATCCGACTGTCCAATCAGTTATTAGCTAATGACAGACCCAAAGCACATTGGGAGAAATTTGACTTTACAAAGTACTAGCTCTTGCTCCAAAATAATAGCTAACAAATCGCCCCCTACCCCCACCCCCAACAACCAACTGCTTTAACCACATTGGCATGGAGTACAAGATCTGTATAACCTTTTTACCAGCAATGGATTTTTTGTATCTTGTGAGCCATACCTAGCTGATCATGAGGGGTCCCTTTAAACAGAATTCTGTATGTGGTAAGAAACAGGGCTCCTTCTGCAGGGAGGATGTGGGGACCTCCTAGAAGCCCTCCTGTAGCTTCCTCTCTTCCATCGGGATCGAGTAGCACACGGAGGCCTTCACAAACTATTTCTTCTCCTGGAAGTAGGGCAGGTCTTAGAATCTTAGGCTAATGAGAAAAGAAACACCATGGTATCACCAACAAAACTCTGGATGTTTAAATACTCAAGAAACAAGACACTTTTTTCCATTACTGCACATGGATATAAAGCTTCACTTAGAACTGCTGTTGTTCTTGTCTAGTCATTTCAGCTGTGTCTGACTCTGTGACCCCATCTGGGGTTTTCTTGGCAAAGATACTGGAGTGGTTTGCCATTTTATCCTTTACCTTACTTTGCAGATGAAGACAGAGGCCAACAGGGTTAAGTGACTTGCTCAGGGTCACACAGCCAGTTATTAAGTGTGTGAGGCTGGGTTTGAACTCATGAAAATGAGTCTTCCTGACTCCAGGCCGACACTGTATGCACTGTACCTATTATCATGAGACCCCAAATGATAAGCTAGGTGGTTTAGAATTAGGGAATAAGAAAGGGGGATCCTAATAAGGAGCTAGTGGTTTTTGCAATATTGACAAGGTTGGGGGAAGTGTCAGGGAGTCAGGCCTGCAGAAGACAGTGACATGAAAAAGGCACTGAAAAAGATATGCACACAAGGCTTTATTTCAATGTCTGATTTTGACCCAAGATGTATGATGACAAATCTGTCGCTTGGGGTCAGGGGTCTGAGTGGTCATCTAGACCTCAGTGAACTGAGCAATACACTGACCAAACCGCAAGAAGCTGGGCATGTACGGCCACTGTCCTTACATCCTGGGGCAGTGGAGGGCTCAAGACTTTCAAAATGACTATTTGCTTTGTAGATGTCCGCATCACTTGGTTAGCCCAGCTCCTTCACTAGGTGTTCTTGCCTGTTTACCCGTGGTCTAGTTTAAGTTCTGGGCTTGGCCCAGTGGTTGGGTCTGTTCTCCTAAGCTAGTACGGCATGTGAGCTAAGAAAAAAGCTAGAACAAGCCATTCCCAGGAACGAAGCTGAATGACCCCTCCAGGTTCAATCGTCTCTTGCCACTCTTTGAAAAAAAAAATGCTGCCAAACACAAAGGAATCTTCCCTATGGAGAGAGCACGCCTTTTGCAGTATTACCTTCTGTATTGGGGGGAGCCTTCTACTTTCTCGATGAACAGCCTCCAAGGTCTCAATGTGCATTGCTACAATTCCTAGAAGGATTCAGAGTATGTAGGGTAAAATGATACAAATGAAATGCAAATGAACAAATGAGTTCTGAAATCCTGTATTTATTTAAATAGTAAATAGCCCACACAGATTGGAATACCCCACTTTCTTCAAAGATCAGTTCAAAAGCCCTGTCTTAGATGAGGTCTCCTCATATGTCACCTGTCTGGGCCTCTCTTCCTCCCTCCCCTCTGCTCGCCCCCATCCCAAGTCACCCAGCACTGACTTTGCATATATTTTGTACTGACTTATTCACACTTGTTCCCTCCAACAGAGCAGAAGTATCTTGAGGGGCAAGGACTGGTTTTTTTTTGTCTTTGTACCCTAGTACTCAGCACAGTGCCTGGCACAGAGTAGGGCAAAAATAAATATTTGATTCATAGATTATTTAGGTATTTATCAGAGCAGCTAAGAGTTGTGACTCTGGAGTCAGAGGACCTGAGGCTGGCTCCTAGCTTGCCTGCTTACTTACCTGTGTGACCTTAGGCAAGTCACTTAACCTTTAGCACTGTAGGTTTCTCATCTATAAGTTGAAGGGTGATCTCAGAGTGGCCTCTGAGTACTGTTCTAAATTTATGACTCATAAGTCTTGGGCTGAACCAAAGCAGCTACAATAACAACAACAAAAAGATCTCACCAAAGAACATGATTACAAAATCAGAAGTTACCTGGGATCATGCAGTGAAGGCTCTTGATGTGATCCTGAGTAACTCCACTTTCCGTGCAAACTTTGTCAATAAACCGGGTTATAAAACGCACAACAGAATTTGCGATGTCACTGTTTTCTGAGTCCTCAAAGCCACTCTCTGTGTCATAGCTCTCAGCAACACTTCCGGCAATGCTGAAGAAGCCAGCGGCAGAAATGGGTGTTAAACCTGACCAATGCTGGGGAGCCACTCTACTGGTTCATTTATCCAGCTGATTAACCCAGGGGGATTTGATGGGGCCGCTTGTCAAATATTAACATCTGTATCTCAAGAGTAGGGCACTTTATTCTCACCTGCTCTACGTAACATCTGCTGCAATACTGGTGCCTAACTTTGACAAAATAATGTAAAATTCAAAAGCTATCTTCACATCTATAGGCACATGGCTTCTTCAAAGCTCCAATTCTGTTTATTTTTTTTTTACATCACCACATATTGCTGGCATCTGTTTAATTAATAACTGTTTACCATCTAGTAGAAAATGTGACATCTAAAAGAATACGATCAATGAACAGGGATGCTTACAAGTATCGAGACCCAGTTCTACTTGTATGTACAATGAAAATCAGGCTATTGTGTCTTCTGTGTTTTGGAGACTTCTTATAGTTTTCCTTGTTTATTTTAAAATACTCTCTGATTCTCTGTAATTACTTGCAAAAAAATCCACAGGAAAAAAATCTAAGGAATATGTATATACAGATCTCAGTCTCACAGCAGGGGTTCTTTTACTTGACCCTCTGGCAGTCTGCTGAAATCTATGGATCCTTTTACAAATAAAGTTTTTTAAATAATTCAAGGAAATGTTAAATTTCAGTTAAGAGGTTAGTGCAGATACAGATGTAATTTTTTTTTCTGTCCAAGTTCATGGATCTCCTGAAATCTATCCACAGACCTAAGATTAAGAGCCCTTCATCTACAGGAAAGGCATGAAGTTGGGCAATTGTGTCTCCTTCTTCCGGAGAGCTGCCTGTGGATGGCAAGGGCCAAGGAAGGGCTGGTGGATAAGAGACCAAGGGAAGAAGGTGGGCTGCTCTGGGCAATAGATAAAGCTGGAAAAGCATCCTGGGGAAGTGGGAGTTGGAACTCCTTTCCACCTGACCAACTCCCTGCTGCAGCCATTACTATAGGAAACAATTACATAATAATTAAATGCTAAAGATGATGGTACTAGTTCAGAGGATAATTGGTGCTTGGCAAAGGGAGAGATCCCTTGGGTTGAAACAGTGAAGAGGCCTTCCTGGAGACGGCCTAACCAATCTTTGAATGACTGATAGGACATGCACAGATAGAGGCCAGAAGGAAAGCCTGTGGGAAGACACACCACAAGCAAAGCACTGCATCTGTAGGGACAACGGGGATGTTAGCATGACAGAGTGGAAGGAAATAAGGCAAGATATTGAGGGTGGGATCTGATTATGTAGGGCCTTGAACATGTAACAGAATTCAGATTTGATGAGACAGGTAATGTGGAGTTACCTGAGGTTTTGAGTTGGGTGACATATTGAAAATAGTGTTCTTAGAAGAAACACTTTGTGGTATACAGAAATGAATAGAGGGAAAAGGACTAGAATTAGGGATACCAGTGAGGAAATGATCCATTATAGTAATACAGGGGTAAGGACTAGGCTGATAGCAACTGGAATGAAGAAGATGGCAACAATTTGGGAAACCTTTCAAATGAAAAGATTACAAGGATGTGATGATCCCCTATCCTGGAGTGATGTGAAGAAGAGAGTCAAGGATGATCTCAAAGTTTCCAACCCAAGATGATGGCAGAATGATTATGGATTACCAACAGGAAAGGGTTTTGGAAAAGTTAAGGTTGGAGATGCACTTTGCATAATCAGAATAAGGTGAAACTGAGAGTGAATGAGCTCAGTAAGAGAGAATATTAGAAGGAAAGGATACTGGGAGACACTTGGGAGACGGGAAAAGCAAGCCAGACAGAAAAAGTTGGCAGAGGTAAAACCGGAAAAGCAGGAGAAGCATAAGGACAATGCAGTGTCACAGAATCCAAAGGAGGAGAGAACATCTTATTTCTCACCTGGCTGCATTACTTTGGGACTTTTCTGACTTCTCCATCATGCCCCAGGAGGCTCATTACTGGGATAACCTCATTTGCCTGCAAGAGCCCACTGGTCTTGGTACTCCATCTTATCACTCCCCTCTACCTTTCTGACTGGAGGGGGGGGACATGAATTCCAAACCTTCATTTAAGTAGAGAGCTCAGCTCAGACAGGCCAATGAGGTTATCCCAGTAATGAGCCTCCTGGGGCATGATGGAGAAGTCAGAAAAGCCCCAAAGTAATGCAGCCAGGTGAGAAATAAGATGTTCTCTCCTCCTTTGGATTCTGTGACACTGTATTGTCCTTATGCTTCTCCTGCTTTTCCAGTTTTACCTCTGCCAACTTTTTCTGTCTGGCTTGCCATTCTATTTTGGGACTTCTCGGACTGACGTCTATCACGCTCCCATGCTGAGTTCCTTTCTTCCACCCTTCCCCCGCTTTTCAGCTTCATTTTCTGTGTTGTCTTCCCCCGTTAGACTGTAAGCTCCTTGAGGGCAGACTATTGTTCTTTTTTCATATTTGTATCTTCAGCGCTTAGCACAGTGCTTAATAAATGCTTATTGGCTATTGACTCAAGACAGAGAATACACAGAGGATGTATCCTATGTTGCACAGAGGTCAAAGGAGCCAATGGAGACGCGAAACAAAGCCCTTGGATTTGATGAGAAGGAGGCCACTGGTGATCTTTGAAGGAAGCAATCTCACCACACGGACAAGTGAAAGGAAGACAGATTAATGGGAAGGATGGATTAGAAGTAGACATAACAGACGTAAATCATGGTGTCTGGCAGTGAAATGAGACACTGGACAGTATTTGTAAGGAGTAATAGGATCAAGTAAAGCTTTTTTAAGCTGGGCAAGTGAGCATTATGAAGTGACACCAAGAGGTCAAGACTTGACATTTTATAGGAAAAACTGTCCCCAATTTTATATGTTCTCTTTTTAAAAAAATGATATTGGCCTAAGATCATCAAACAAAGTCCACATCCTGTCTCTTGTTCCCCAACCTGTTTGTGACAATGCTGTTGCTTCCACTTTCCCAGTCTCCAGTGGCAGATGTCCTCAGGAGTTTGTTTTTACTTGTGTCCAGTGGTACCAGCAGGTTGACCATGAGGTTTGCAAAGTGGATCGCCTGACTGAAGACCGTACTTTCCTCCTTTTGCACCAGCTCTTGCTGCATCTCTTTGCTCAGTGTAGGCCACAACCGCAGTTGCTCTGCGGCCAGGTCCATTGCAGTCTTCTCCTGCTCTGTGCTTTTTGGAATTTTCTCCTATGAAAAAAAGTAATTAGAATGAAGAGAAAATACTAATCATTTTATATAGTCCAAAGAATGAGACAGAGGTTGCTAAAAAATGAAGACTATGTCTCAATAGCTTAACATTTGGATAACTATAACCTGTTGTGTAAAAAATAAAATAAAAATGGAGAGTTAATAATCTCAATTCTCAGTACTTCAATGAACCTCTATGAAGAACACAGTGAAACCAGGTTAACAGACCAAGTGGTTTCCGCTTTACTTAACTCTATCTGTAAACTGTATCACTTCCAATATATTAACTATAGTAAATAACTGGCCTATTGCTCCTTGAAACAATGTTGAGATGCTAATTTTTTTTTGATGGCAGGGATGGAAAATACTTACATTTTCTTGAAAGTGAAGATTATGCAGTTGAATATAATAGTACTAAAATGATTTCTGTAAAAAGAGGGGTGCCCCCATACAGTTGAACTTATAGGTTTTATCAGAATTAAATTATATGGAATGCATTTTTTTTTTGTGCAGTGGTACATGGGTAAGTGTTGGTTTGGGGTTAGCCATTTAAAACAAATAGGGAGGACGTGAACACAAACTTTGGTGTTTGATATACAAATGACTTTGAAAAAAGTTCAATTTAAATGTTACTACATGCTAAAAACGACCACTGGAGCACAATAATCTAATTTGATTTCAAAAGCAATAGCACAGACACTAATCTTTAGTAGTCTATGACAAAAGATGAATACTTACTGAAAGTCAATTCTTAACCAAATCACATGTTCCAAAAGAAATTCAGAAAAGCATGCTTCACTTATCACACAATAATTACTTAGATTATGAGAGATGACCGTAATAATTAAGCTTTTACCAGCTGATTGAATGAGAAGGCACATAATCACAATTTTCAAGTGGAGTCACTAAACTATGATGTTAGTTTAGTTAAGATTCTAGATGTATGTTCCCAAAATGGGAATTTCCAGTGACTAAATTTGCAAAGGTGTACTGTCACAATCATGTGTCTAGTGGACTCTGTTGATGGAAGAATAACTGCAACATATATTGTTGATAAAAAGCACTATTTAAGCCCCTAGTGTGTAATATTTGCCCAAGATGAGCCATCCAGCAATCTATGATATATAAATGCAATGAGTCTTTCAATTAAATGCAGTGCCAAATGGCTGCCTCTTTAAAATTATCTACTATTTTCATACAAATAGGACTGCATTAAAATGTCAGTTGTAGAAGAGAAATTAAATAAACCATATAACCACAAACCTACCCTGGTCACATACAGTATTATGTTATATGATTGGCTATGGCACTTAGCACAGTGCCTCATACATGGTGAATGCTTAATAAATGCTTGTTGACTTGGTAAAAGAAAAGGTACAGTCTCTGTCCTCATAAGCCTATAAAGGAACTCTAGCAGTGACAGCTATGCTGGCAAGAAATTTACCACATAGGATTTAATTATAACATAATATTTAATCCAACAGGTATTTATTTAAAGTGCCAGTTCCATGTCAGGCACTATGGTAGGCCCTGGGGATACAAAGGCAGCCAAGGAAATATCCCAGCATTTTTATGGGGAGGAAGGACAGAATGCATACATGAAAAATCATGTCACAGGGCAGTCTGTCATAGGTGCATAACGGAAGTACAAATATAGTGCTATTGTAGTACAGATAAGGGAAATAGAAATTTTGGCTGGGGAATTAAGGAAAGTTTTATAAAGGAAACAACATCTGAGCTGGGGAAAAATGATAAGTTGGATTTTAACGGGTAGTAATTAGGGGTGGGGATAAGGGAAAGGATTCCAGGAATAAGGAAGCCATGAAAGTAAAAAGATAGCAAGTTTGGGAGAGGATGGGCAGTCTAATATGTTCTGCTGGTGAAGATGTTAATCCAGAATTTTAAGATTTCCATTCGAATTGCTAGATGAGGTACAGACTTGAAGAGATTCTTTCAAAGAGCAAACAATGCTATAGAAAACCAGTGAGAGGAGCCACAATGGACAGAAAGGCCTTTTCTTGTAACTTATTCAAGAGAGCACAGCTGAGGAAGAGCTGGTTACCCAGATCTGGCTGTAGCTGGTCTGAATCCCATCCCTCTTTCATTCCTGTTTCTGCTAAATGAGCTTTACAGGGATGAGTTTTTGCATGTTTGTAATTCATGTCTTCTTTTTTGTCACTAAACATGATTTCAGGTGACAGACCTTCTGAGGAATAAACAAAGCCCAGGTAATTTAGTCTTCAATTCCCAAGTGTTCTATCCTCTTCCAACACCTTCATTTGTTCAGATGCTTACCCTTCTAGTTTTTCATGATTATAAATAGCACTTCTAGAAATGATCCTTGTACAAATTACTCTTTTCCCCTTGGGATTTATATCTTTGGGATATCTGTTCCAAAGTGGAATTTCCAAGTCAAAGGGCACATAGTTTTGTAGCTTTTGTTATACACTGCCAGACTAAGCTCCCCAAAGGTGAAGCCAACTCACAGTGCCACCAGCACTATGCCAGCCTGCCTGCAGTGACCTGTCAATGGTCTGTTGGTCACTTTAAGAGGGTTTTATAAAAGGTGAACTTCACAAAAGCATAAACATATAGGGAGAGGCTTTAGGAGGCCCCCTACCTCTGTTTTCCAATAGCTGTTCCCAAAAAGAGGCACAATGGATTCTCATTTGTTAAAATTCAGGGCTTATGAACAGTTCAAAGATACTAATATAAATAAACATCATAAATATCAATTCACCTAATAAACAACAAGCAAAAAAACCAAAGCGATTGAGTTTTTTTTTTAATTGTGACTGTACATTTAAAAATACGCTTCCACTTACTGTCTGAGTTCTAGTCTACAAAGACATTTCCTATTTTCTCACCTTTTGCTTCAAGTGTGTTGAATGATTGTCTTCCTTGGCTGAGAGGTATAGGGAGCGAACTTGATTTTGCACATTATTGTAAAACGTTGTCTCCCAAAACTGCTGATTAGTCCATATAGGGTGGTCCTGCACACAAGTATAAGCAAACTGACTGACTCCAGGGGCGAGTTTCTGTGAGAACACACCAAAACACAACCATCAGTGTGGAAAACAAATAATTTAAGTCACCCAAAGGACCATCTCTGACAAAGTTTACCCAAAGAATGTTTCACAACAGTACACAGTACTATTTTTGCATACATTCAACTCAATCATTCAACTTAACCAACATTAATTGTCTAAAATGTAAAAAGCACTATGCTAGGCATTAGATTATCTGAGCTAAAGACATAACTAAACTAGCAGAAAGTGCAAAAATTGCTCATTACAGGTTTTAAAATGCATCATGGGTGTGTGTGTGTGTGTGTGTGTGTGTGTGTGTGTGTGTGTGTGTGCGCATGCGCGCAAGCTCTTGAAGTGGTTATTGTGTTTGCTATTTGGATTTAGTGGGGGTTTTTTGATCCAGTTCTGTGATTTCATTGACTTATAAAATTCCTGATGAGGAGAGTTCCCCTACTAATACAGATCGGGAATTATTCTGCACCTTAGGTTGTAGTCTTAGAGAGTTGCCCTAGCTTTGAGAAGTTTGCCCAGGGTCCCAAAGTCAGTTAGTGTCAGAAGAGGAACTTGAATCCAGGTCTTCACGATTCTGAGGCAGCCTATCCATCTACTATGCCACTCTATATGTCATTACTCTGTAATTAAGTATTTAAAACTAAATGCTGAAGTCACCCTAAGATTTTCTCGGAAACGCCAGAAAGCTGTCCAGCTCCCATCCTGTGTCCTCAGCTCGCACATTCTCTACAAAGAAGATTCTCATAGGCTTTGGTGTAGATACTCTCCTCCTCTCCCCAGTTCTCTTACTTTTCCTCTCTCGCCTCCCCTCGCCGCTGCTCTTGCTCCCTCTCTCTGCCTCTCCTCCCTCATGGATCCTGCTGTGCTGCAGCTCCATGAAGAACTGTTCTTCTGTTTCTTAGAACATTCTTTCCTAAACTTGAATCGAGATCTAAAACTTCTGAGGCTGACTCCCTCTGACTTGTTGATGACTGACTAGATCTTTCATAAGGTGACCCGTGGATTGCTGACTGACCTTATGATGGGCTGGAGCTTAAGGCAGTTTGAATGCTAATTTTTGCCAATTTCTCATGAAAAACGAGCGCAACATAGTTGCAGGCAGACTTTTTGTAGATTGAAAAAAATGTAGAGTGTTGTATGTCTGAAAGCACAGATTTATTTTGGGAATGAAGCTCAAAAAGGCAACTTCTGTTAATGTGAATTTACTTTTTTTTTTAGAGGGGAAGCATGATAAAGGGGAAAGAATAACGAATCTGGAGTCAGAGCATTGTTGGCTCAGATCCCTAATCACTAATTGCTTGACCTTGGGTGAGTCATTAATTTCCCTGGGCAGTTAGTCAGTAAATTAGTAAGTGTTCACGAAGCCCTTAATAAGTGCCAGGCGATGGGACTAACTCCTGGAGAGTCCAAGAAAGGCAAAAATATGTTCCCTATCCTCAATGAGCTTATAGTCTAATGAGGGAGAAAACATGTTAACGACTAGAACAAACAAGATATTTACAGGGTAAGCTCCAAGTAATCTCAGAGGGAAGGCATTAGCATTAAGGGGGCAGGGGTCAAGAAAGGCTTCTTGCAGAAGGTGGGATTTTTGCTGAGTTTTGAGGGAAGCCAGTGAAAAAACATGGAGCTGAAAGACAGGGTGGGGTGTAAATCTAAGTGTAAATGTGTGGGGTATAAAATGTAAGCCGATTGGAAAGGCAGGAAGAGGCCAGGGTACAAAAGCCAAAAAGGGGAACTTATATTTGATCCTGGAGTGTACTGCCCAGTTATTCTGCCTGGCAGATTGATCCTAAATACCACCTGGGTTTTCCAACCAAACGTTCTTTTCTGTAAACTGAGAGAGGCTCAGCATGAGAAGCCCACTGACACTCAGGAAAAGTAAGTAAGGCCACTGGCACTCAAGTCCTAGCCCTATTATTACTATTCATAGTAAATAATGGGGATGGTGAAGACATTATTATTTTTTTTGAGGTTAATGTAGCATGACCTGGTTTTTTTTTTTTGGAGAAACAGATGCTTTTTTCATATTAAACATATTTCCACATTAGTCATGTTGTGAAATAAGAATCAGAACAAAAGGGAGAAACCATGAGAAAGAAAAAAAAGGAGAAAACACTATGCTTCAATTTGCATTCAGACTCCATAGTTCTTTCTCTGGATGTGGGTAGCATTTTCCATCATGAGTATTTTAGAAATGTCTTACATCATTGCACTGCTTAGAAGAGCTAAGTCTAACAAAATTGGTCAATGCACAATGTTGCTGTGCTACTGTGAACAGTGTTCTCTAGTGCTGCTCATTTAACTCAGCATCAGTCCATACAAATCTTTCCAGGTTTTTCTGAAGGCCGCCTGCTCACCATTTCTTATAGGACAATAGTATTCCATTACATTCACGTACCACAACTTGTTCAGTCATTCCCCAGTTGATGAACATCCCCTCAATTTCCAATTCTTTGCCACCACAAAAGAGCTGCTATAAATATTTTTGTAAGTGTGGGTCCTTTTCCCATTTGTATGATCTCTTTGGGATAAAGACCTAGCAGTGGTATTACTGAATCAAAGGGTATGCATCGTTTGATAGTCCTTTGGACATAGTTTTAAATTGTTCTCCAGAATGGTTGGACCAACAATGCATTAGGGTTCTAATTTCCCCACATCTTCTGCAACATTTATCATTTTCCTGTTTTGTCATGTTAGCCAATCTGACAGGTATGAGGTGGTGCCTCAGAGCTGCTCTAATTTGCATTTCTCTAACAATAGTGATTTTGAGCATTTTTTCATATGAATACAGATAGCTTCAATTTCTTCATCTGAAAACTGCCTGTTCCTCTCCTTTGACCATTTCTCAATTGGGGAATGACTTGCATTCTTACAGATTTGACTCAGCTCTCTATGTATTTTAGAAATGAGGCCTTTAGCAGAGACACTGGCTGTAATAATTGTTTCCCAGCTTTCTGCTTCCCTTCTAATCTTGGCTGCATTGGCTTTGTTTGTGCAAAACCTTTTTAATTTAATGTAATCAAAATTATTCATTTTGCATTTCATAATGTTCTCTATTTCTTGTTTGGTCATAAATTCTTCCCTTCTCCATAGATCTGACAGGTAAACTATTCCTTGCTCTCCTAATCTGCTTACAGTTTCACCTTTATGTCTAAATTGTGTACCCATTTTTACCTTATCTTGGTATACAGTGTAAGATGTTGATCTATGCCTAGTTTCTGCCATACTGTTTTCTAGTTTTCCCAGTAGTTTTTGTCAAAGAGTGAGTTCTTACCCCAGAGGCTGGAGTCTTTGGGTTTATCAAACAGTAGATTATTATAGACATTGACTACTTACTGCATCTTGTGTACCTAACCTATTCCACTGATCCACCACTCTATTTCTTAACCAGTACCAAGTAGTTTTGATGACTGCTGCTTTATAACACAGTTTTAGATCTGGTATGGGTAGGCAACCTTCCCTTGCATTTCTTTTCATTAACTTCCTTGATATTCTAATCCTTTTGTTCTTCCAGATGAATTTTGTTATTATTTTTCTAGCTCTATAAAATAATTTTTTGGTAGCTTAATTGGTATGGCACTGAATAAGTAAATTAATTTAGGTAGAACTGTCATTTTTGTTATATTAGCTTGGCCTACCCATAAGCAACTGATATTTTTCCAATTATTTAGATTTGACTTTATTTTTGTGAAAAGTATTTTGTAATTATGTTCATATAGTTCCTGGGTTTGTCTTGTCAGGTAGACTCCCAAATATTTTATGTTGTCTACAGTTACTTTAAATGGAATTTCTCTTTCTATCTCTTGCTGCTGGGCTTTGTTAGTAATATATAGAAATGCCAATGATTTATGTGGGCTTATTTTATATAATGTAACTTTGCTAAAGTTGTTAATTATTTCATGTAGTTTTTTAGTTGATTCTCTAAGTATACCATCATGTCATCTGCAAAGAGTGATAGTTTTGTTTCCTCATTGCCTATTCTAATTCCTTCTATTCCTTTTCTTCTCTTACAGCTAAAGTTAACATTTCTAGTACAATACTGAATAACAATGGATAACCTTGTTTCACCCCTGGTCTTACTGGAAATGCTTCTAGTTTATCCCCATTACATATAATCCTTGCTGATGCTAGATAGATGCTACTTATCATTTTAAGGAAAACTCCATTGATTCCTATGCTCTTCAGTGTTTTATTTTTTTAATAGGAATGGATATTGTATTTTGTCAAAAACTTTTTCTGCATCTATTGAGATAATCATTAAATTTCTGTTAATTTTATTATTGATATGGTCAATTATGCTGATATTTTCCTAATACTGAACCAGCCCTGCATTCCTGGTATAAATCCCACTTGGTCATAGTGTATTATCCTCATAATAAGTGATGTAATCTCTTGGCTAATATTTTATCTAAAATTTTTACATCTATATTCATTAGGGAAACTGGTCTATAATTGTCTTTCTCCGTTTTGGCTTTTGGTGAAGACATTATTAATGAGAACAACAGACACTTCGATGTTTGCAAAGTGCTTAATATACGTGAGCTCATCTGAGTCTGGGGAAGATTGCTGGCGGTCTTTGAGCCTTGGTTTCCTCATCCATTGGATTAGATTAAAGATGACTGGAGAGACCTGGAAGGAGCTCTGGTTTTAGAGTCAGAGGACCAAGGTCAACATCTACCTCAGCTCTTTCCTACCCATGGGATTGTGGTCAAGTCCACTGTTCTGTGAAATGAGGGGGTTTGGCTACGTGACGTTTGAAGTACATTCCAGAAGTGAATCTACGATTCTAGACAGATGCTCATGAAGCTGTACAAACATAAGAATAGCAATACTTACAATAGTATTAACAGATATCCTCAGATATCTTCTCATTTCCCACCTGGCTTCACTTACTAATTCTGGATTTCTCTGACTTTTCTACCATGCCCCCTTACCTCTTACCAACCCTTATTTTTCAGCTTCCTTTGGCAGGTTGCCCTCCTCTAGTAGACAGTAAG